CTGATTATGTACTCTATGTATCCTATGACTTTAAAAACAAACTTTGCATTTGTGGGTAATCTAAACACTATACCCAGATGTACAGACACCCTTTTCCCAACCTATGTAGTAAATTGTGCTATTGTGAAATAAAGACTGTACCCCCCCTTTCTTATTATGATCTACTGCTATTGTCTGTCTTGCATGATTTTCTCACTTGGATTTACTCATGGAGAATTAGCCAGAGGGTTTTTTGTTTTCTCACAGTTTTTAGTTTTCTGTTTTATTCTTCTAGCACTTCTTTTACACGAGGATGCTTAAAGTTGGTCTCCTTCATAAATGGATTGATTTTTCAGGATTTCTGAGCACATATGTATCCCAGTGAAATAAGTGCTCAGCACCTTTGAAAGCTAGGCCATTATTGCTTAGGGCCCAGATTCTTAAAGGAACTTAGGCATTGCAATGCTGAGCAAAGCATGCCTTGACTGATTTAGGATCCGAAGTCTCATTGAAAGTCATTGGTACTTAGCCTCCTCTGTATTAGATTTTTATAGGGCATTGACGTGTGGCTGGTAAACGTTGGTCATAAGCTCTCAGCATTGAAAAAAGTTCACAGGGCATAGCTAAGGTAATGTTTTGTATCATTTCAAAATTGAGTTACTCCTACTTTGAGATAAAGTGCTATAAATAAAAATGACATTTACCTAATTGTTCTAAGGATATAGTTTGGCCAATTGGAGAAGCTTTAAATAACTGAAATTTTGGATGTTTAAAGAATATATTTAAAGAATTTTCAAAGGTTTGAAGATGAGAAATGACTGTATTTACCGTATTGTAGTATAAATCACTGTTTTCTTTGGCTACGGCAAATTAGGAAAAATTGTTTCTCTTATTCTGAATTTTATAAGCATACCTAATTATGGTATGTGGATATTTTATTTTTAAGAAGGAAAAATTGAATTCCAGTATATACCTGATGATAAAGGAAACTGTAGCAAAACCAACAGCCGAAAAGTTAGAGAAAATCTCCTTAAACTCTCAGTAGCTCAAGTAACAAAAGGCTTTGGTTCATTTTTTTTCTGACAGAAAAAATAAATTCTTGTTTTGCATGTTGTTCCTGGTCAGTGCCAACACTAGATTTCTTTGTTCAGATTTGGGATTGTCATGCTTGCATTGAACCACTGAATGACTACACATAGTCTTCACTGTATATAGTACAGAGGAGTTTTTTATATGATCTTGCTGCTTCTGCTTTTTGCAGTGGTAGAAAGTAATGTTTTCCTTCAATAAATAGGAAATGTGGGCACTGAAAATATGAAGCAGAGCCAGAAAAGGGATGAATTCATAAAATACTTGTTCTTTAGAGACATCATGAAATGCATCCATTTATTGTATAAAGTATTTTGGAACTTTACCCTCAAATTTCCTCTCTTCAGCCCCTTCCTGTCTACAATAGCTCCACTTAATGATGTTGTCTTCAAAGATTCCTCAATTCTGGAACCGTTTAGGGGAGATTATTGGAATTGCATGCTTTGGGTGAACCTGTATTGTTGGGTTTTTTTGTTTTTAGTGGGGACTGTATTTTAGGAACCCCTTGCCCAAATGATCCCACGTTTGGATAATTAACCCTACCCTACGCTCCCACAAAACATAACAAATTGCAAGACAATCTGTGTAAGCACACAGATTTTAGAGTACTAAGTCAACTTAAGTTATGTTGACGATCATAAGCCTCTTTAATTACATCGTTACTCTAACAATGTCGCAAAAAGTTCTTTGCCTCTCTTTGAGGTGGTTTTATTATGTCAGCATACCAAGGGAGTTACATCTGTGGGAGGAGCATTTCAGTGTTTCACATCCACTGTTTTGTTGATGAAAGCTGATTTTTGTCGACAAGGTGTGTAATGTAGACAAGACCTCAGAAGAGTCATTTTAACAGGAAGGGCTTTTCAATTTAGGCCATGTCTACGCTACCACTTATGTCTGCAAAACGTATGTTGCTCGGGGTGTGAAAAAAACACACTCCTGAGCAATGTAAGTTTCGCAAGCATAAGTGCTTGGGTGCACAGCGCTGTGGTGGTGGGAGAGCTTTTCCTGCTGCTCCTGCAGGTGGTTTTATTATGTCAATGGGAGAGCTCTCTTCTGTCCTCAGAGTGGCTACAGGAGTGATCTTACAGCGGTGCAGCTGCATAGTTACAGCTATGCTGCTGTAAAGTCACTAGTGTAGGCATGGCCTTAGCTAGAGAAGAGCTGGCATTCTAGTATAATATTGTGTGAAATTAGAGGGAGAATAGGAGGGATGGGGTCGACGCATCCATCAACAATGGAACTGACCCATAGATGTAGCCTTAAACAACATCTCTGAGAGGTGTGAACTGCTTCCCTCATGTGAGTGGGTGTTCCACTTCCCCCTCCCAGTGCTGGAGAGTTTCTGATATGTGTCAAGCATACCCAATCTCAGCAGTATATTCCTGGTGCATGGTCTGAGCATGTCTGGCTCACATGGGGAGGGGTAGAGAGAGGGGCTCAGACCCCCCATCCCACTCCAGAAAAGCAAGCCCCCTCCAGAACGTGGCTTTCATGAGGGGGGCAGGGAAGGGGGGGTGTTCACACTCAAATAGTTGGGTTGAAAGCCCCCAGATTGTAGAACATGCACAGGAAGGCAATGTGGGGTTACAGGCATTCCTGCCTCATCCCTATTCCCCCCAGGCCCTCTGTCACTCTCCCACCCCTACTTTCCTACTCCCCCTAGTCACTACCCTCCTCTCTATGACCTGGTGTCCCAACCCCTCACCGTCTATTCCCACCTTATCTTCTACTTCAATTTTCCCTTTCAGAGAGCATTTGCTTGTGTAGCTTTGTTTCCTTTTTTAAATAGCCTTCTGAATATTCTGCTGTACTCAGATTATGTTTCACAAAAATTAAAATCCCACTTTGACAGAGGCAGATTGGAGCAATATTCCTGCTTTTTTTTTTTACTTCAAATTTTTGCCCAGGGTTTGGATTTGAACGTACAGTGCCTGGGATGGTTCCAAGAACGTAATGTACCTTTGGAGCCACCTAGGTTCTGTGATGTGTAGGTAGTTTTCCAGACAGTTAGTGTGTGTCTCTCTCTCTCTGCACATGCTCCATTAGAGGTATGAGTACGCACGTAAGCCTTTATAGGCGTAACTGGAAAAAGCAAACTCTTTCAAATAATGTTTTAATTTGATTTCCCCCAAAGGGTGGTGGGTGCCATGCACTCTGTTGGGGGTAGCACTTAAGCGTTTTAGACCCTAGCCTGATGATCTGAGCCCTGATTTGATCTGTCTGTGAGCAAAAAAAACATTGCCAGAACATGTTAACTTTATTAAAAAAAATGTTTTTCTGGAGGCTGTCCCCTGCCACCCCTCTGGAGACTGTATCTCAGGAATCCCATGGTCAAATGGCCCCAACTGTGGCTCACTGACTTTACCTCCTCCGTATGAGGCACACCAAATTTCAATGCAATCTGATTGACTGTCCAGATTTTAGAGCACGTAGAACAGTTGAGCTTTAAACAGAAAGCTGGTCCTAACTTTAATTCTAGTGGAGAGATTTCACTGGTAGACAATTGGGCATAAATAGCCGTTGCAGATAACTACAGGTACTATAAGTAGAGCCCTACCAAATTCACAGTCCATTTTGGTCAATTTTACAGTCATAGGATTTTTAAAATCATAATTTTCATGATTTCAGCTATTTAAATCTGAAATTTCATGGTGTCGTAATTGTAGAGGTCCAGACACAAAAAGGAGGGGTGTGTGTGTGTGTGTGTGGTTTTTTTTGGGGGGGTGGGGAGGGTTGCAGTACTGCTACCCTTACCTCTGCGCTGCTGCTAGCAGCAGCATGCCTTCAGAGCTGGGCAGCTAGAGAGTGGTGTCTGCTGACTGGGAGCTCAGCTTTGAAGGCAGAGCCAGCACCAGCGCAGAAGGAAGGATGGCCTGGTCTGGTATTGCCACCCTTCCTTCTGCACTGCTGCTGGTGGGGGACTGCCTTCAGAGCTGGGTGCCTGGCCAACAGCCGCCACTCTCTGGCTGCCCAGCTCTGAAGGCAGCACAGAAGTAAGTGAGACAATACTGCAGCCCCCCTAAAATAACCTTGATCCCCCTGCAATTCCCTTTTGAGTCAGGACCCCCAATTTGAGAAACGCTGGTCTCCCCCGTGAAATCTGTATACAGGGTAAAAGCACACAAAAGACCAGATTTCATGCGGGGAGACCATATTTCTCTGATGCATTTTTCATGGCCGTGAATTTGGTAGGGCCCTAACTATAAGCACTCTAAAATATTTTTTACTTACTACTTTGTCATTATTACTGACACTCTCCCTAAGTTTGTTGCATCTTGTCTTAATTTAGGGCTTAATCTTGCAAATACTAGCACTATTGATCTAGTCCTTTGTATAAAGTTACACAAATGGCATGAATGTTTGCAGGGGCAGGACCCTGGATTGTAAGATATTTGGGGCAGGAATTGTATCGCTGAGTGTTTTTGTATAGGGTCTAGCACAATGATTGGGGCCCTGATTTGGGGCCTCCAGATGCTGTAATACAAATGAGAGGTAAGAATAATATAATGTCTTCACATCTTTTCTTTGAGATTTTTACACATAGTAAGGAATTCACTCTAGAATCAGCTTTCCAAACCACTCTCTGACCTCTAAGGATATGTCTGCACTGCAAAATAAAGACCTAGAGCAGTGAGACTTGGAGCCTGGGTTGACTGCAGTGTGGACTTTCAGGCTGAGAGCCACCCCCTTTGCTGGGTTTCAGAACCAGGCTCCAACCTAAACCCAAATATCTATATAGCTGTTTTTAGCCCCATAGCATGAGCCTTGACCCCAAATTAGTTGACCTGGGCTCTGAGACTTGCTGCCCTGGATCTTTTTTTGCAGTGTAATGTACCCTAAGGCTTCTTTTAAGCAGTCTTGAAAAAAACAAAAACTCAATTTGATACTCTGTATGTGCAATGCTTGATTTTTTTTAATTTTTGGTCTTACAGGTTCAGCACCTCAAGACAAACACTAATGTGGATTCCAGACTCCTTTTTTTCCAGGTATTTCAAATGTTAATATATTTTACTAAGTAGAATTACTAGGCATTTAAAAAGCATTTTATATCATTACCATTATGAGAGTTTGATTACAGAAAAAAACATAAGTCACAACGCCATCCTGCTGTCACTGTTGGGGCAGAGCGAAGGAGGAGGATGGAGTGGTGAAGGGATTATTCATCTTCCTGAGATACTCATGCTGTGGGTGGGAGGGTCAGTGGGTGGTGAAGCTGAGCCAGACCTGCATTAGATCACCAGTATCCACCTTCTCCACTGCTGTTGCACAGTATGCTTCTGTAATTAAAATTGTAAGAGTTTCCCCATTGTGAATTTAACACATACATTTTTTCCCCCTCTAATTTTTTTTGGGGTCTACTCATAGCATATAAAAACTAGTGCCAAGTGGGGAGGGAGGAAGGAATAAACCGGCCATATGATCAGTTTTTCTGTCTTCCTCCTTCTCCAATCAGTCAGTGGTTAGCTTATTGAATGTGAGGGTTTATTATCCTTTATAAAAATATTTTTATCCTATCTAATGAAACTGTTGATATTCTCATGGCTCACTATTTTGACTCCTAGCAAGCCCTAGGTCTCAAAATTATGTCTAGTGGCAATAAGTTCCATATGTTAATTTTGCATTGTTAAAAATCTTTCTATTGGTTTAAAATGTGTTGCCTTTCAAATTCCATTTTAAATGTCTGCTTGTGCTTGTGTCATGAGAGTGATAAGTAGGAGCATCATATTTACCTTCTCCATGACATACATTATTTGTATACCACGCTATTCCTTTGGGAGAGTTAGTAGTTAGATATTTAAATTCTTTTGTCTTCATATGTGAGAGAATTTTCAATATGTTATCTTTTAAAAAATATTATTTCTTGCTCTTTGCAGTAAGTAGCCTTCCAAATCAGAACAGTAAATAAGCCTCTTACTTAATTCTAACCCTCCCAAATATGCTGGGCTTTTCATCATTATTTTTAGGAAAAATCATGTTTTTTTTTTCCAACTACGCCAGGGCGGGCAAACTTTTTGGCCTGAGGGCCACATCGGGTTTCCAAAATTGTATGGAGGGCCGGTTAGGGGGGGCTGTGCCTCCCCAAACAGCCAGGAGTGGCACTGCCACCGCCCCTATCCGACCCCCCCCCCCGCTTCTAACCCCCTGACGGCACCCCGGGACCCTTGCCCCATCCACCCCCCCGTCCCGCTCTCTGTCCCCTGACCGCCCCTGGACCCCCTGCCCCTAACTGTCCCCCGCTGCCCCATCCAACCCCTCCTCTCATTCCTGACTGCCCCCCGGGGACCCCTACCCCATCCAACCACCCCTTCTTCCTGACCACCCCCAGACCTCCCACCCCAACTGCCCCCTGCCGCCCCATCCAACCCTCTCCTTCCTGACTGCCCCACCCCGGGACCCCTGCCCCATGCAACCACCCCTTCTCCCTGTCCTCTGACCGCCCCTGGAACCTCCACCCCTGACTGCCTCCTGCCGCCCCATCCAACCCCTCCTCTCATTCCTGACTGCCCCCCAGGGACCCCTGCCCCATCCAACCCCTCCTGCTTTCTGTCCCCTGACCACCCACAGAACCCACGCCCCCATTCAACCCCCCTTTTCCCCACCCTCTGATCGCCCCTACCCCTATCCACACCCCTGACCACTCCTCGAACCCCCCTGCTCTCTATTCAACCCCCTGTGCTCCCTGGGCCCTTACCGCGCTGCCTGGAGCAGCACTGGCTGGCGGCCCGGCTGCACCAGGATAGGCAACCATGCCGGGCTGTGCAGCTGCACTACCCCAGGAGTTCACAGTCCCCCCGCCCAGAGCATTGTGCCGGTGGCGCAGTGAGGTGAGGCTGCGGGGGAGGGGAACAACAGGGGAGGGGCTGGGGGCTAGTCTCCCCAGCCAGGAGCTCAGAGACTGGGCAGGAGGGTCCCACAGGTCGTATGTGGCCCGCGGGCCGTAGTTTGCCCACCTCCTGAGCTCCGCTCTCTTTCCTTGACTATGCTTCACCTAAATGCGGATTAAGGTTTCCTGGGGCCCTGGGCCAGAGCAAGTGGGGGGCCCTTCCCAACGCCTTTGCCTGCAGCCCACCCCCATTCTGCCTCTTCTGCCCGTGGAACTGTCCACAACCCCTTTCTGCCCCTTCCCTGGGGCCCACCCCTGTTCCACCCAGGTCCTACCCGTTCTGCCTCCCACTGCAGCCCCGCAATGTCTTTTGCTCCTTTCTGCTTCCCACCCCGCCAGTGGCCCCAAGACTGGCGAAACTCTGTCCCTTGCGCCTCAGGGCTCAGTGGGGAGTGAGAGCTCCTCCAGTCCCAGGGGCACAGAGGGGGGCCAGGTGCTGGGGCTTCCCCCGCGCTTCTGTGGGGGACCAGGGTTGGGGCACTGGGGCTTGTCACACTCCACCTGCCCAGTGGGGTCGGGTGCGGGGGCTTCCCCTGCCGCCCCACGGCTTCTGCACTTGCTTTAATTGGGGATGGGGTCTGCTATGGGGGGCTTCCCCCATCCTGTGACTTCTGCTGGGGCTGCTGGTGGGGGGGGAGGCTTCCCCATCCTTTAGCTTCTGCCGGGGACGGGGTCGGGCCAGGGCTTCTGGGGAAGGATCCTCCACCCCGCCTGCCTGGCGCTGCTGCCAGGGGTGGGGGGGGAATGGGGACTTCCCCCTCCTGCCTGGCAGTTGGGGCTCTCGCCTTCCGCCACCCAGGGACAGATTTTTCCAGAGCCCCTCAGTTGGCCAGGGCCCCTGGGCATGGGTCCTGTCAGCCCAGTGGCTAATCTACCACTGCCTTCACCTACCAACTGGCTCTCAGAACTCCAAGTTCTCATCCCTGGCAGCTAGTGTCTTCGCAGAGGGAGCTAAGCAATGGTGGAATTTTCATGTCACCATGGCTTTCTGCCTTTCATGTTTGAAGAGGATGAAGGAAGAATCCTTGTGAATGAAGCTGTTAGACAGCAATGTCTCTGGCAGCTACACTGGAACCGTGAAGTAAATGGAGTTCCAGGGAGATGTCCTCATGTTCTATGCCATACGGAGGAGGAGGCAGCACAGGGAACCAACCCGCTTCCTGCCCTGCAGCTCCCCTTTCTTCCATGCGAAAGGATCTCAGCAGATGGCTAATTTTTACCTTAGTACAAAAATGACTGTTAAAATAACATTGGAGTATAAATAAGAGCTCCAACAAAAGGTATCTGGATGAGTTTTTCATTAATTTCCTTTCAGAGATCATGAAGAATTCTTGGAGTCATATTGCCCAGAAAATTTGGAGCTTGACACTTGCTCAGTTATTAGGGGACTTCTAACTTTGAGTCATGGAAATATAGATGGGTTATTTGTATAATGGAGAGTTAGAATATTTCTGCACATGTTCAGTGTTCTCTCCTTCTAGACTGCATTATAACTCAAACAAATATTTTGTGCTTTTCAGTTTACTGAGTGGAAGAATTTCAACACTTAAAGATGAAACTGGTGCTGTGAGTAATGCTACTGATAATTTATAAGAATGAATATTTATTTCCAAATTGGATCTATTTAGTAGAAGTGACTTCTATGCTGAAGCTCATACTAATAGTTCTAAAATGATAAGATATTATTGATACATAGATGAGTGTTATAGATACAGTAAATACAGCAGACTAACATTTGACCAAAGTATTTCATTCCTTAAAAGATTTTTACTAGTTAAATAGAACTGCACCCTCCCATATGCTGATGTCACTTTTCCATCAGACGACCACCACCTGAAGACCCAGAAAAGTCAATTTTAACTAAAAAGCATAGGTGCCGACATTCCCTCTTTCCCGTGGGTGCTCGACCCCCTCTGTCTCTGTCCCCATCCCCACTCCACCCCTTCCCTGAATTCCCCGCCCTGGCTCCGCCTCTTCCCTGCCTTCTCTCCTGAGCACGCCACATTCCTGCTCCTTCTTTCCCCCCCCGCCGCCGAAGTGTGCTAACGCTGCCAAACAGCTATTTGGCGGTGGCCTGGTGGGAAGTGCTGGGAGGGAGGAGGGGGGACGCGGCGTGCTCAGGGGAGGAGGAAAAGGTGGGGGGGGTGAGGGGAGTTTAGCTGCAGCCACTAATTTAATGAATTAGAGTACCCACAAATTTTTCCCCATGGGTGCTCCAGCCCCAGAGCACCCACAGAGTCCGCGCCTATGTTAAAAAGCTAATGGTAACATTTTCAGAAGTGCTCAAGTCATTTAGGAGTCAATGGGGCATAAACTTCTAAGTTCCTTTGACCCTATATGACTTAGGTGCATTTGAAAATGTTACCCATATAAACTGAATAGGTTATTTCATACATCATGAAGGAAACTCACAGTGAACTTTCAGAATCGGATCCATAATGAATGGGTTCATAATGAATGCCCAGAGCAAGCATAAAGAAAAGGAGTACTTGTGGCACATTAAAGACTAAAAAATTTATTTGAGCATAAGCTTTTGTGAGCTACAGCTCACTTCATCGGAACCTGTAGCTCATGAAAGCTTATGCTCAAATAAATTTGTTAGTCTCTAAGGTGCCACAAGTACTCCTTTTCTTTATGCGGATACAGACTAACACGGCTGCTACTCTGAAACAGAGCAAGCATAGTTCTGTGCTTTTTAGAATAGAATCATAGAATATCAGGGTTGGAAGGGACCTCAGGAGGTCATCTAGTCCAACCCCCTGCTCAATGCAGGACCACTCCCCCAATTTTTGCCCCAGATCCCTAAATGGCCCATTCAAGGATTGAACTCACAACCCTGGGATTAGCAGGCCAATGCTCAAACCACTGAGCTATCCCTCCCGCCAACACGATTGATTTCACAACGCGATCAATCTAGATCTGACCTATCATTCTTCATCATCAAAGGAAATCTGCACATTTTCTTTTGGTATGAGTATCTTTTTTTACTTCAAACACTACCAGTTAAATTGTTCATGCAGCCAGTATGGGAAACACAAGTGTTGGAAGTGTTAACTGTCCTGTAAAATAGCATAGACTTAAAAGAAAGTAAGTGTTTTAGATTTGAGGGAAAATAGGGTATTTCCAAGAAGGTGAAGTAAAGTTTTGTAGGTGTGACCATTTCAATGAAGGTCAACAACCAACAGGAGGAAAGAGATCCTCTCCGGTACTTTCTTTTCATACTCCGTGTTTCCATTCTAATCTGGATGAAAGAGGAAGATAAAAGAATGTGCATATTGCTACACCAGTGTTTCTTTACTTCTCCCTTTACATACCCAGAAGCAAATGGTTTAAACTTGCTAATTGCTTTGCTCAGTGTTAAAAACTAACACTTTTAAACTGTGGGAGCCATAATCAGAAAAGATTTCAGAGTGGTAGCCGTGTTGATATTCTTAATTTACAAAGTTGAGCCTTGTATGCAGTGTGGTTTTAGCCATGTCTGTCCCAGGATATTAGAGAGACAAGATGGGTGAGGTAACATCTTTTATTGGCCCAACTTCTGCTGGTGAGAGAGACAAGCTTCCAAGCCACACAGAGCTCTTCTTCAGGTCTGGGAAAGTTACTCCCAGCATCACAGCAAAATGCAAGGTGGAACAGATTATTTAGATAAGTAATTAGCACATATTGTAAGGGATCATTCCAGGTTGAGTGGCCCGTTAACACCCTGTGGTCAAAGGCCAAAAAGAAGGGGGATTAGTGGGTTACAGATTGTTGTAATAAAACACAAATCCAGTGTCTCTGTGGATGAATACATTTCACAATGTGATCAATCTATATCTGACCTATCATTCTTCATCCTCAAAGGAAATCTGCACATTTTCAAGTGAGCCTTGGAGCTTAAATTTATTACTTTGCTAGACACTAAAAATCATGGCTTGGAAGCTTGCCTCACCAACAGAAGTCGGTCCAATAAAAGATATTACCTTATCCATCTGGTCTCTTTAATAGTTGAGCCTGCACATGACATTGAAAGTATTGCTAAATCTAATATCAAGAACCTTGCAAAGTAACTTTAACAGTCCTTTGCATCTACAGTGCATAATGTGTGATACTTACTCCATGTACAAATAAACTTTTTTCCTTTAATCAAACTTGTGAACCACAGACATATCAATAATGGAGGGGTAGGGTTAGGGTTTTTTTTTAAAGTATACTAGCCCAAGTGCACACACTTTCTTGACCTTAAAATATGGCATTTGTGATGACAATGTTTAATTATATTTTGCTTGTCCATCAAAGAGACAAGCAAATTTTAATCTTTTGCAATAGACTTGAAAAATTTCAATCTATTATAGAGGTTTATACTGCTGTTCATCTCCTTAGTATTTGAGTCCCTTCCACATACAATCGGTAGCAAAGTCCCTAGTGGACTTCATGAAATCTGTCACTTCTCCCTTTTCCAGGTAAAAACTCTGTTTGCAGTAGGGTCGAGGTGTGTGTTTAAGAGTCAGGGCTGTCCTGTACTCTATGTATATGTTTACACTGCAATTAGACACTCGCAACAGGCCCATGCCAGCTGGCTTGGGCTGCAGGGCTGTTTAATTTTAGGATAGACTTCTGAGCTAAGGTGCAGCCCACACTCTAGGACCTGCAAGGTCGGAGGGTCCAAGACCTCGGGACGCAGCTTGAGCCCAGAACTCTACACTGCAATTAAATAGCCCTGCAGCCTGAGCTCCAGTCTGCTGGAACAGGCCAGCTGTGGGTTTTTAATTGCTGTGTAGACAGACCCTATGTAGAGAAGATAGGGAAGAAACCTCTTGATTTGTTCGTATCTAAACATTCTGGGCAAAATATTATGAGCTGGGTGCCTCACGTGGTCAAATCCCGCAGACCATAATGGGACATGAGACTGATGGGCACCTCAAAAGAGTGTTTCTAAAAGCGATGTTATCTAGATAATATAGTTGTTACTCAAAAGCAAACTCTTAACGCAAAAAGAATAAATTAACTATCTTTATTTGTAGATATTTATTGATAGAGATCCAGCAGCATTTGCACCCATTTTAAATTTTCTTCGTACAAAGGAGCTAGATTTACGGTAAGAAGTTCTAATTCTTCTAAAAATCCTTCTAAGTACAGTTCACATGGGTGGAAATTTTAAAATCCTTTATGATAGGAGTTTTCTAATTCCACTGATCAATCAGATGTTCTGTGACTGTGGGATCTGACTGGTACTTTCTAAGTCCCTCACCGGCACAGTCTAATATGTGGACTCTGGTCCTATTTCCTTAGTTCTATGTGTCATGCAGGTGACAGAATGGACAGAATTTGTTAAACTGCAGTTGAATACAATTTCATATATTTAAACCATTTCAGTACAGTACATTTCTCAATCAAATCTATTGTTGTGGGTTTTTCTGTAGTTTTTACTTTAATGTTGTGATCTGTACCCATAAAGATTAATGTATCTGCAGCTAAAGACTGAGTCCAGCTCTGGGGTGGAAATGTTGTGTTAAGTTATTAAAATATGCTGCTTCAGGAGGTTCAGTTCTGATATTTATTGTGTGAACTCACACTTCTAGTTTTTACTTTGTGATCCCCCAAGATATAATACCTCGTTTAAAAAAAAAAAATCAAGTCTTCTTTTTTCAAAGGGAAAAAAATGTTATTTCAAGGCATTGCTTTCCTTTGTTCTTGTTTTTTTTCCAGGGGAGTGAGTATTAATGTTCTCAGGCATGAAGCTGAATTTTATGGAATCACTCCTTTAGGTAAATGTTTGTATTAAAATTATGTGGTTCCTAATGGTTGCACTGCCATAATAATAACCTACACATGATTCTAAGATTTGGGACAATTATGAGCCAGAAGACTGCTGAACTTATTTGTGCTGAACTTGACAGTATTCAAGCAGATATTTTAAAATCTCATCAACCTCTTTAAATGAAGCTTGAGAAAATAAAACTTCATTGAAGTTCTTTCCTTTTGATGTTAATATATATCTTGTTTAGTAAGAAGACTACTCTTATGTGAAGAGCTGGAACGCTCATCATGTGGCAGTGTCCTTTTTCATGGCTACCTGCCTCCACCAGGTACAGATTCTGTTTTCTTTCACTGTGTACTTCATATACCACTTCCAATCCATTGATCCTTACACTGGATAGTTATGTAAATCTGTCAGCTTGGAGTCGTCATTTTAACCTGCAGTCTGGGTGAACAACTACTATTGATGATAGAAGCTTTAATTTTAAGGTTATGTCTACACTTAGAGCAGCCTATTGCATACATACACCCCTGTAGCATGGGTAAAAATAGCAGTGTAGATGGTGAGGCACTGCTTAGGCGTATGGAGTACTTTAGGATATATACCCTACACAGCTCTCTACACGCTCAAGCAGTGCCTCCCCTTTCTACGCTGCTGTTTTTAGCAGTATAGCATCCCACTGCCAAAGCCTTTTCCCCATGCGTGGCAGGTGAGCTACCTGAGGCCCAGCCCCACCGCCAGCCAGGTGGGCAGCACTGATGTGGCCCCAGCCCTGGGGCTTATGAGCATCAGCCTGCCTGCCCCAGCCTTTCTGCTATGGAAGAGCACCAGGAAGGGAACTGGAAGCAGGCAGGAGGGGCCCTGGGGGTAGATTGTGGGCACGGCCATGCCAGGCTGTTTGGAGAGACACAACTTTCCCCGGCCTATCCTACTCACCACCCATGCTTTTCCCGAAGGGAAAAGCTCCAGCAGTGGGGAAAGGCTGTGGCAGCTCCCAGAGCCTTTCCCCACCAGAGGTTGCTGTCAGTGGCTTTCCCCACTGCAGGGAAAGGCTCTGGGAGTGGGGAGGCAGCCACATGTAACTACACATCATGGTATGGATGGAGCCTGCTTTTTTGCTGAGGCATGTAGCCTACCACGCTGCCAGTGCAGACAAGGCTTAAGAGGGTAAGCTGTTAACACCTGATGCAATATTGTGTACATCCTTTCATTCTTAAATTTGGTGGATGTTTGTATTGCTAGTCTTTTGTATGCATTATGAAATAGTACAGGTTAAGTGGCTGGGAAACACAATGGATTAATGCAGTGGAATTGAGAGTAGACGACGAGAGATTTCCTTGTGCAATATAAGTGGGGTAAATGTTTCTAACTTGAAACCATTTCCCGTAGAGGGAAGTGATTCATATTTTTTCATCCCTCTATGGAGGAAGATGATTTTCAATTCAAGCTGACTTATTTTGAAAAATTACATGAATGTGCCATATTAAAAAATGAATGGTTCGTTCCAAGATCAACTACCATGGTCTGAATAGCACAGCTGGTGCCTTGAGTCTTAACTACAAATAGGAAAATTAGCCTGTTGCTGACAGCAGTTGCTAGCATAGGACCATCTCAAGCCAATGCCAGAAAAGAAGGGGTTCTTGCAACAGATTTTTTGGCAGTCTTGGAGTGTGGCCACTGACTCTTGCTGGTGGCTGCTCTGACAATTTTTCCTAAAATACTTAATTAACTTTAGGAAAAATAAATACATATGTACATATACACGTCCAAATCATTGTAATCTATTTATGTAGTAGGAAGGCGGTAGGAAATAAAGCTCCCCATTCAGCGTACCCGGACTTTGCTCCTGTTCTTGTGCTTGGAGCGTGTCACGGAGTGGGAGCCCCTCACCCTTGCTGGGCAGCTGCCAAGTCCTGTAGCAGCCTGGAGCTGTTGACCTACGGCGGTAGCTACAGCAACTTCAAACGGCGAGTGCAGCCCCAGGCGGGGGAAGCACCAACCCATGTCTCTGTCCCTGCCCCTTGTAATACTTCAGAGAGAGTCTGCCCTGGGGAAGGTGGGTCAGGAACTCACCAGTTGTCTTCCGAGTCCCAGGCTCCCTGTGCCCCAGCCAGGCAGGAGTGCGGAAGTTGCCCAGGAGTGCTCCAGTGACTGAACACCGCAGCTGCCTCCATTGACAAGGGCCACCTCCGGTGCCATGCGCACTGGCCCCATATGTTGCCAGAGCTGCTACCTTGACCCTCGGGGAAGGCTGTGTGGTGTAGGGTGCCGATCCCTGCAGGCGATGCCAGCGCAAACACCAAGGCAGTGCATCTCGCTGCCCTTGGTAACAGCTATTCAGGAGCAACAGCTGGGTGCTGCAGGGTGGGGCCACTACTTTGCCTCCACCCCAATCTCCGCCCAGGTTTTGGAGGCTGATGTGGCTGCACAAAAATCCACTGGTGGCTGTATGCAGCCATGCTGACCGCTTTTGAGAAACATTTAATTACTAGTGTAGAAGGAAAGAATCCCTTTTCCACGCTGTTACAGAAAGAGGTTTTGTGCTGTCTACACTAGCAGTTAAATTATATTTGACATCTGCTGAAGAAGAATGGTTACTGCATTGGGTCAGTTTCATCATACAGATGATTACTGACCCAGTAATCATATCGTCTCTGTGTACCTCTGTGACGTGTACTTTGACTTTTAGTTGTGAACCTAAATTCATTCTTGGCTATTAGGTTTCATGCTAGGCTAATTTAAATGTTTTTATGATTTCTGGTATTGGTTTATGAACCTGACAGAACAACCTATTTGTTTAAGTTTTGCAGCGATTAAACTAAATTTGGTTTTGGAAATAAAATGCAAGAGCAAAATTCGTTAACTTTGAAAGATGACTTACCAGTGTAAGAATTTAAATGTTTGTAATTGTGCTTTGTATATTAACTGTTTTAGAAATTATCCTGGCACAGTAAAAGGTAAATGAAGTATGAAAAAATGTCTTTCCTTTTTCCGATAGGCATTCCCTGTCGTAAAATAAACAGTACTGCTGGGCCATGTATTGATGTTAGAACAGGTCAGAATTACTCTGAAGGAAGTGAGGTCCGAGGAGGTAGTGTCCAAGCTACACTTGCTGGTACTGGGGAAGGCACAGTCAGGCTAGGTAAGGAAAGTTTTCATGTACTTTTATCATGTTGCCAGTGGGATTTCTAGTGGGAAATACCAAGTTAAGGGGTTAATGATAAGTCTGTTCTCAAACTCTGATGGTATATTTTTCTGTTTTTTAAGTATAAACTACACATTCAGCAATACTTTAACATTATGTATGAAAAACTGTTAGTGTTAAGATTGCAATGTCAAGCATTACAAAATTAGGAAATGGCAGGATTAAGGTTACACATTAAACCCTAATTTGTCCCCCAGGGTGCATGTGCACTATGGTAGTCTTGTCTAACCTCACATAAGAATTCTGTTGCAGTCCTAGTCTTGCTTTCAATGCAAGAGAACATCCTTTCTCTTCTTGCTACCCTCTGCCTCATTCACTGTCCATCTTGTGCATTGAATGACAAGGTTTAGTAGAACAAATAACATGTGATCATGTAACTAAAGATTATATCATAATCCACATGCACGGGGGCCATAATTTAAGATGTGCGGGTAACTTGAAGTCTGGCATTTCCTAACTTTCAAGTTCTTGACTTTAAATCCTGTGCAGCATTCTGTTAAAGTAGTTTTTGTGTGTACTTTCCTAGTTTTCTTTAAAAGACAAAAACAAATTATACTTTCTGTAGCTTATTTATAATTTGTTCCTCTCATGCATCAGCATATGAACCCTGAACCTTCAGCACTGCAGCACAGACTTCTATCACTTGAGCTAAAGAATTAACCACAATATCTGGCGGTGACAGCAGCAGCAGTGTTAGCCTTTGTGGATCAGCTGCTAGAGGAGGCTATGTATCAAACTGTGTCCCTCTGTCTTCCTCCCAAAGGCTGTTGTGTACTGTGTCCTCTAGTGTAACCCCACCCTTTGTTTTGTGTCCACCTGTCCCTCTTACGCTTTTCATCTTCCAAAGAACGTTGTCGCCCCTTTGGCCCAACTGGTGCTGAACAATATTTGGGGTTTGCAGAGTTATTTCTTTTGGGAGGAGAAATTAATGATACAAGTTGGGTATTTCTTTGGTGCAATCCTATTTTATTTACAAAGAATGTACACAAAGACCTGTTTCCCTGAACAGTGTAGAAACAAATAGGCACCTGCCTCTTCGGTGAGTTCTGTTCCCCAATGAGCTCTGACCTGCTGTCTTTCAGAGCAGCCCTCACAACTGCTTCTCTTGCTGTCTGGTGGCTTTCTCCCTCTCACCTACACACAACTTGCCAAACAATCCTCTAGCATTTGCAACTAGTCCAAAGGGGATGACCATACCCACCCCAGACCATGTGGTTTAGCACTGCTGAGGAATCACTGTTTAGCCAATTGCCTTGGGCAGTAGCTACTGTTGTCTCCAGCTGTCTTACTCCATAAAGGAACTTAAGTGCTTCTTCCAGTTAGCCTGAAAAAAGGGTGGTTAGCACACCCATTGGATTTAACAAGGTCTTTGATTGCCTGTCGATTTAAAGACCTGCTTGATTGCAGCCATAACTCCTTCCAGCGTAAGTATTGTGCCCCTGTCGTAATCCCTCCATGTTCTGTGTGCTTCCCCAAGGTTATGTATCTGCCCCCAGTCCTGTCCACCCCACCTCTCCTATTGTGATTTAACCACTCCCCTGTTCAGTGTCTCCTGGTTCTTCTGCTGAATCCATTTTGTCTGTGTCCTACCCAGCTTTCTGTGGAATGCTACAGTGAGGCACTGAGACAAGACGCATACGCAGACCTTTAGAATCATCAGCATTTTTGCTATGTGGCCAAAAAAACCTGTACTTTCCAAAACTTGTCAAGAAATGGTGATTTCTAATACCTTGTAACTCAGCCAAACCTGACTGGTTTCCATGGACCAGCAAAAGGCATGCCCCTAACCCCAAGGCATTCCTGCTGCTGAGTGTCTAACGCCTTCTTCATACAATGTAGGTATTAGAGGTATTCAGAGGTCACGTGAATTTTTTTTTTAGAATGGCAAGTACTAGGCAAACTCAATATAAGGATCTTTGCTATCTCCCCCTAAAATGATTGCTTTTGAAAATGCCACTTTTTCATAACATAGCTTTATATACCCTGCAAGCCAATAGGTAAACTTGAAGCTTATTCTCAAATAATTGACCAATTTGACACACATTAGAAGTTACTTAAAAATAGAAGCCTTTTTTTTTTTTTTTTTTGCAAGAGCACAGCCCTGATTCAATTTACCTGCCAGTTTCTACTTCTTATGAGACCTTTTGATTTAGTAATTATTAGCGGTGTTGCCTCATTCTATGGAAGAACATAAAAGTCCCATGGATTCAGATATCAAAAACGCTGATAGATCTGTAACAGTGATTTAAGATACATTGTCAATCATGTACTTAGCTTGTTTGTATGTACAGCCAGTGCACACCATCTGAGAAGGCAAAGCTTCATTTCTACAAAACAGTCAGTCTTGGAAGTCCTAGTCTGAGACTTTTGGATTTGGTCTCCCAGCCTCTCACCTTGTATATTTAAATTGGTTAAAGAATGATGTCTGTAACTGAGGATAACCCTTTTCTTTTCATTACTATTTTCTAGGATTTCCTGTGGATCCACGAAAGGTTCTGATAGTAGCTGGCCACCATAACTGGATTGTAGCTGCATATGCCCATTTTGCTGTTTGCTATAGGTATAAATGACTTAGTAGTTTCTGGTGGATTGGGTTTTTAACTTGATTTTCCTTTCCTTCTACACAAACTGTTTTACTGAATTTGCTGATTTACTGAACATTATGTTGCTAATTTCTGCTAAATTTTAGGAAATTTCATAGTTCTATTTAATTTGATAGTTGAGCACACACATTTCATGTGTTCCTTTTTTTTTTTTAAGTACTGATAGGCCACATATAGTGTTGGCAGACGCAATATGGGGAAAATCTTCTAACTGTTCTGGTTCACCCCATTCCCAACACAGCTGCTGAATTCCTTGCTGTTGCAGTGATGGACTTCCCTTGAAACCTTTGCTTACATTTAAAAAAAAAAAAAGATTTTATGATACTACTGAGAGTTAGAAAGTTGAGTAATTGACACTAGACTTTTGACTTAATTGGTTGATCAACTGTATTTAACACAGGATTTTTTTAAAGGTTTTTGGAAGACTCATTTCAAATCTTCCTTCTACTATATACCTAACAAGAAATTGAAAAATATGGGTGTCTTGAAAATGTGTTCAGATTAAAGCATTGCAATATTCTAAACGCCTTATGCCTCGGCTGTGGGATGGACACACTGCTATTTGTCTGGCTTTCTGCTTGCTTTTATGTATTTGTAAAGTGACTGGTTGGTATTCCCTGTGTTAAAAAACTTCAGTTTTTTTAGCTATTTAACTGGGCTGTGTAATAGCTGAATAAGTATTTGTTGCTTTACTCAGCCACTGTGCAATAGAATATGTATGTAAGATATTTGTAAATGAGTAACTTTACTGGGTTCAGTAAAAAGTGGGTGCAGAATTGCTTTACTGATGCATTTTCTTAATATAAATGATTTAGGAACCTACTTCCAACAATGGTACATTACAAGATTGTTTTCAAAAGAAGAAAACATTTCCCATAAGTTATGTAGCCAGTTGTGCAATATTTTATTGCATGTGTGGGAAAAATGATTTCTTGTCTACAGTACTGGTAACCTGAACCTTAACACCACTTTGTTCTCCTGAACCTCTGATTTGATATCCAGCTGTATATTGACTCAGGGCTCACCATCTTAGTCACTCCCTGTCTTGGTCTTGATTCAGCATGGCTCACTTCTGATCTCTGAACTCCTTCTCTCTAAACATTATTTATTCTACTTCATTATCATTCCTCATCTAGGCTGACCTGTATAACACAAGCCGTATATGCTAATAATCTTCCTATTATTCTTCCCCTCTTCCCAAAGTTCATCTTTTGATGAACTTGTTTCTTGAGGTATGTCTACACTGCCAGTGGAAGCAAGCCTCTGGCCCAGATTGACAGTCTTGGGCTATCGGGGCTTGTGCTAGTGATCTAAAAATAGCTGTGTAGACAGCGCTTTGAAGCTGTGACTTGGGCTGGAGCTCAGTCTCTGAAGCCTCGGGAGAGGCGTTGGTTTGTTGTAGCTTGTTCTCACTTACATTAGAACTAATGGAATTTTTCCAGCATTTTTTAGAATATCTGGCACCTGGGAGGCAGTAATTTTAAAATAACAGTACCTATGAATTGCTAGCATATTTTCCTAATATGTGTGCATGATACCTTAAACCAGATTGTTTGGCTATTTTGAGGTAGCATTGCCTCTGTAGAATGTGAGGCTAGAGAAGGAAGTGCTGTTGCTAAAAAAAAATTTTAAAATAGCAATTTACATTAAATTGGCTGTGACGCCCATGTGGTTAGAAATATTTTTAAGTCTCTTTGCATATTTATCAAATAAATCATAATGCTTTAAAGGACGTATGATAAATGAACACGTCAAACATATCTCATATTTAACATGAATTTTTTTAAACACTTATGTAAAGCCTACAGAAAAATAGGGCATCCTTAAAAATGTAGCATTTCATCTTGCAAATGAAAATTGTGGAATCCTTTAAAACTTCTTAAATTCATAAGTTTAAGTATTTGGCATCTGTAGTGTCCAAGAACTTTTCAAAAATGCAGTCCTACAGGCAAAATGCAATATAATGACAGAGCTACAGTTGCTAGAGCTATTTCTGGAGTCACATATCTTAATAGCCTAGATTGATCAAGCCAGTAATAAAGAGACATATAGGTAAACAGAAAAAATGTCCAAGGTGGTCATTTACATATTATTTGGTCATAAAACATTCAATTAGATAGATGTAAATAAAAATATAAACATCTAAAATTAATTGTAATGCAGGAGCTGCGTTCACCAAGCACACTGATCCTATCATTTCAAGGGAAAAAGGTACCCCCATTTGGCTTAAACTAGGCTGATATAAAGCCTTGGGTTGTGAATGAGATCTAGTAGGCCAAAATCTTCCCTGGATAAATAGAATGCAACTTCCATTAAATTGTGGGCTTACTCCAGGGCTGGTCCCTGTCTTTTACTCATTTTAATATATATTTCGTTATTGTATATGTGGGCAAATAGATTTGTTAATTTCACACTAGAAAAGAAATAACTCAGAAGCGCTAAAACACCTTCTTGTGTTTTTGCCTTCTTGCTGTGACAAGTGGAGTAAAATCAAACTTAATTACAAAGTTTTTTTTCTTTTTTCTTTTCTTCAGTAAAAGCTATGCAAAATTTAAATAGGGACTCAAGGTGGGATTTGGTTTACTCTACTGTAAAATGATGTCAGGTTGAAATTTGAGGGAGTAAAAATACAGACTTCTTTATAAGAACTGCAATATTATGTCTTGTTTCTTTGTAACTTTTAAAGAATGGTTCATTCTAAGTATTTTACATTTTTAATCAAAAATGTTTTATAACATTTGTGTACTGTTTCATTAATCATCTTTTTCTTCTATTCTGCCTTACTCTTGAATGTTTTTCCTCTGTAAGTGTTCTGTTTTTTGTCTGTTTTCCATTTACTGGTGTTCTTACCCTCCACCTTCTGTGTGTTGCATCCCTTCTTACGGTCTTCTGCATTGCACTCACAGTCTTCTGCATTGCCCTGTGTGTCAGTAACATTGAATTACAAAGAAAATCTCTAAGCACTGGCAAATAATTATTTAGAACTAAGATTTCTAGGCAATGACATGCAGTCTTGATCACACAGTGTAGCAGAGTGGCAGAAAATAGAAATATAGTAGAGATTATAGTGAGATTGCTGTATTTATTAGGTAGCACAGTTATACATAAATCAGTGTTTTGTATGATTCACATTCAGTTGAGCATGAGTAGGATCCCTAGCAATTGTTGGGTGGGGGCAGAACCTTAAAGGTGTATCTTAAACTGGCAAAACCAGGACAATAAGATTAAAATTCCATCCTTTTGCTTGTTTCCTTCTGGCTGGGTGTTGCAGGTCACAATATCACCTACTTTTCCGAAGCTGCCTTGCAGAAGATCATATGTTCTGCATTACCAAGGCCTAATAAATTAACTTTTAACACTGTATTTAATCCAGAATTCCTGTATTTTGTGGCTGTAGGCCTGTGAAGAGTATGTTAATATCAGAATCCTTTATTTGATATTGTTTTATAACTTAGAGGAAATATAATTGGCTTGTAAGACTGACTATAGGTACAAACTCCAAACTGAGGCTGTTTGGAAAGTGTACTTTTTAAAATTCTCATCCTTCCCAGAATCAAAGAATCTTCAGGATGGCAACAGGTTTTCACAAGTCCATATCTGGATTGGACTATCGAACGAGTGGCTCTGAATGCCAAGGTCGTTGGAGGCCCACATGGGGACAAAGATAAGATGGTTGCTGTTGCGTCTGAGAGTAGCATCATTCTGTGGAGCGTTCAGGATGGCGGTAGCGGTAGTGAAATTGGTGGGTATGACAGTTTTGTGTGACCATGTCTTACTGCTAATATCTTCTGACTCATAAAAATATAGTTCCACATGTAGTCTGACTGGATAATTCATAACAAACATTTACACAGATTTAATAAAAAATGAATTTTGGTACAGCAATCTAATATTAACATTTTTGTGTGTACCTTTCTGCCCTTCATTTTGATCTGGAGACGCTTCCTTCTGAGTGAGTGAAAAGAAATACAATCCAAAAATCAGTGTCTCTGTATTGGGCAGAGGCAGTTCAGAGCCATCATTCATGTTAAAGTGTCATTGGTAGCTTGTTTATCTGACAACATGGATTAGAGTTAAACTCAATCCATTAGACTCTGTTCTTCAGCACTACAAGTTGGATTTGAACAGAAGACTTTGAGGTGAAAGGCTTAGGGTACATCCACACTGCAATGAAAAATCCAACGGCACCACGTCTCAGAGCTGGGGTCAATTGACTTGGGTTCACAGTGCTTGGGCTATGGGCCTAAAAATTGCAGTGTAGATATTTGGGCTCGGGGTGGAGCCTGGGCTCTGAAACCTGGGTGGTTTGGTCTCAGAGCCTGAATGTCTACACTGCGGTTTGCATCCTGGGCCCTGTGAGCCCAAGTTAGCTGACATAAGCTAGCCTCGGGTCTTTTACTGAAGATTAGGTGCATCCTAAAATGATTGCCAACTTATCCTTTTTTTTCTTGCTTTGTTCTATTGTAGGTCGTATTTTAGATTTTTTTTTTTAAAGTCTGCTTTTGCTAATCTTCTTATAAAATGTAGTTCCTAAATAGAATTTTGGAGACAGCTATTTGCCACCGTAGTCAGCATTTTAAACAAAAATACAAATTATATTAGTGTGGGCATGTAGTACTGGGTCCCAAACGGTTTAGCATCAAAGGGTTCACAATACTAGAGGTCATATAAATATGAAAAATGTTTTCAGAGAAACAAACATTCCTTAGTACAGCTGTGATTGATGGTTTGTCTGATTTATTAAAATATATAATTGCTTAAAAACATGAATAATGGGCTTTTGGGGAAAGAGGAGAGGCTGGTAATTGGGAATATCCTCAATTCCAAGAGTGGTATGTAAGTCATGGTTTGAAAGATAGTGACAACCTGTTTCCTCCAGCCATAAAGTACTGTCACCATAGATTTAATTTAATAAGCTTAGTACCAAGAATAATTGTAACCTCTTAATTTAGACATTTTTTTCTGAAATTGGCTGCAAATTTGTTCAGTTCATTCTCTATTGCTCTTTCCTTTTAACACGAAAATACTAAGACCTAGAATATGATGGGAGCTAATGTAATTGATGTGAAATTATTAAATATAGTCTAAAATATTTGGGAGTTTCAGTTCAGGTTGGCTTATTTAAAATAAAGACAAAATTTACTTTAAAACATGCATTCCAAAATGCAAGATTAAGGTTTATCTTTATTCATGGATATTTAATTTTTCTTGATGTTCACAGTGGTATCTCAGCACTTTACAAATATTAATGAATATTGCTTTTGAGAAGTGAGGAAGCATGATCCTTCTTATGACAGGTGGGGAAACTGAAGCACAGAGAGCTGAAGTGTCTTTCACAAGGTCACACAGGTACTCTGGCAGGATGGGGAATAGAACCCAGCTCTTTCTATCCCATTTTGCAGAGCAACCAGCAGGCTAAATGTTTTTGGTGAAAGTTGCTATCATTATTTTGAACATGGGAAAACTTCGGAAAAATCAAAATGTTCATGAAAAATTCCATGTCTTAAAAAAAAAAATTTAGATTTTTTTTTTAATTTGAAACATTCTGGCCATCTGTATTGTGTGTGTTAGTCAATGTTATGAACTAAGTGTTCCACACTTCCGTTTTTACATCGCTTTTATAACTCAAATGTTCGGGGTTCCCCACTTCCCCCAATTCAATTAAACTAAGCAATCCAGTAACACAACAATAAAATAGTTTTACTGGTCTATTTCTCTTGCGGAGTCAAATGTTTGAAGCCCTGCCTTGGGATAGTGAGGCAGTAGTTTTTCCATGTCCTGTAAAAGAAACAATTTGTTGTTACAAATGCTCTTCAGACCCTGACAACACCATCCACAGAAAATTGCAAGGGCTGGCATCTCCATGATAGAGCTCTCCCAGAGGCTGTACTCCTTTCAATATTACTTATGTAGGACACCGCTGCTGAATTGCTGCTATAAGCAGTGTTTTACTGAGAGGGCCCCTTAAGACAAGAACCTGTCATTACTTATACCATCGTCTTCCCTGTAGATGGCCGTCAAGATTGTTGAGCCTAACCAGGAGTGACACTTTAAATTCCTTCAGACCATTCAAGCTGTCTTCCTTGATTTCCCTGAACCTTATCCTTCTCTGGAGTAATCAATTCTAGTTGTTTCCCTTTTTTTATTATTGCCTGCTTTTATGTGCCTGGTACTGCTGAATATAATCTGCATCAGAGATGATACCCCATGACCTGAAAAATCATTTGGCATCATAATTAAAGCACTAGTGTATAACAAGCCTACTGACTGCCATCATCAAGCATAGTAGACTATTATTCTTTTGTTTGAAATGGCATCTTGATTTTTGTCATTTGAATTTATCCAAATAAAGTTTTTGGGGGATTTCCGCTGTTTAAATACTCTTCAAGAAATTTCTGCTGAGTTTTAGTAGAGGCATTTGCACAACTCTTGGAGATATGCCACTACATTATTTATTAAAACATTTTAAGTGGCTGTATAAGATCTTTGTGTAACTTACTGTAAATGTCAGTACAGTAGACAACTGTACACTGAGAAATTCCTTACTTGGCAGTACATGTATCTTAATGAGCAGTTTTATAATGAAAGAAGATAGGTTTATGCTTACACTCCTACAGTATTTAGTGCTGAGTTACTTCTTGTCTGGTTGATCTAGCTGGCAAGCATCCTACCAAATCACCCCCAAGAAAACAAACTTGGAGAACTATGAAAACTCTTCAATGTTGATTTGCTGTGACTCTTCAAAAACAGTTTGATTTCATACTAAATGATATAGTAAACTCATTTAAGCTTGTCAGTCAGTACCAGTCGTATTAGACCCTGAAGAGAGACTGTGGGCAGTTCTACACTTAATGCTACAGCAGCGCAGCTGCACTGCTTCAGTGAAGATGCTACTACTCCAAAGGGAGAGCTTTTCCTGTCGGCATAGTTAATCCACCTCTGCAAGAGGCGATAGCTATGTCGACGAGAGAAGCCCTCCTGTTGACATATTGCATCTACACTGAAGATTAGGTTGGTATAACTGCATTGCTCAGAGGTGTGGATTTTTCACACCCATGAGCGACATAGTTATACCAATGTAAGTTTATGGTGTAGACCTGGCCTGAATGCCATTGTAATATCTTAGTGCCACTAGAAGAAAATAAGTGTTGCAGTGAAGTGAAATGAGTCAGCTGCAGTATGTAGGTTGACTCAGTTCCCTATTCACGTGATAACAATGAGAATTCCAAAAATTTGAACATCAAAGCTTCATCTCAGTTTTTTGTCTTTTGAACCTCTTTTGATCTCAGTACTGGTTAACATCCAGTAATCGAAGTAGTGATGGGTGAAAGTACCAGTAATACTCATAGTGGGTGGTGATGAAGCGGTGAGAAATGTGTAAAAAAAAAAAAGTATTTAGACAGGACCAGTAGGTGTAAGACTTGAAAGAGGGAAAAAATAAGGGTCTATTATTTCTGTAGTACTGCTTCAAATATCCTAATTATTGGTTGAACAACTCATATCAGACTGATATTTTTTGAGCAAACTGTTAATTTTATTGAGTTGCTCATGCGTGCTTGGCTGTTATTTTTGACAGTGTTAATCTTCGTTGTTAAGCAATTGCAGTTTCTATGATTGGCTGATCATAAAGAGATGTTTTAGACTTAGAAGCAGGGTTTACTGTGACAATTGGTCAAATGCCACCAAAACAATTTCCAAAAGCCAAATTTGGGCACTTTCAAAAATCATGTTCATTGTAAGGGATCTTCCAGTGTATCCTGATAAGTACATCTTTCAGAATTAGTTATAAATGTGTGTCCGTTGGAGTGTATGTTTCCTAGTAATATAATAACCACAAGACACATCTTTCTGCAATGTAGAAAGAAGTAAAAGTGATATATTTTTCTGCTTAATTATATTTGCCTGTAATAGTTCATTTAGGTACAGAGGTGGCTGCCATAGCAAAAAAGGAAGCTGGTTTGTTTTAATTTCTGATCATTATATTCCTAAAAGAATTTGTTCAAAGGACAATATCATGCATCCTTCATATCACTTTTAGTTATGTTTTTGACAATTTTTGCCAAATTTATGTAAGCTCTTAGTCATTTGTGGACAGCACTTCTGATCAGCTTTAACTGTACATTTATAAATTAGAGCTTGTTTTCAAATTAGAGCTTAGTACAGTATTTTGATCCTTCATTAGTTGGTGTTCGTAAATGATTTGAGGCCTTAGGATAAAGGTGGCTATAGAGAAACAAGGAATTTATTATTATTTTGCAACATCACTTTTCCCGAAAAAGAAACATTGACTGCATCAGCAAATTACTGCATGTTGAAGTAAAAGTAGTTTAAATTCATTATAGGTCTAAAGAGAGGAGAGAGAGATTCCATCTTCACTGTTTTTCTTTTTTTGTATTTATTCTGAAAACAAGTTTCATAGACTCTCTATTTTTTGTAGGAGTGTTCAGTCTTGGAGTCCCTGTAGATGCCCTCTTCTTCATTGGCAACCAGCTAGTGGCTACTAGTCATACAGGGAAGGTTGGAGTGTGGAATGCTGTGACTCAGCACTGGCAGGTGTGTTGAACTGAAGCATTTTATTAATACATCGGTGTTTATCAAAAACTGATACGTTTTATGAGGAAACAAGAACAAAATCCATTTTTTTCAGATAATGCATAAATGTTATTTTTCTAACATCAGCATTTTAATATTGTAAGACTCTGACTTGTGCCTATCATTTTGATATCTTCAAGCATCATGCCTTTAGGTATTTTGTCTTCTAGAATGTTTCAGAGTTTATCTCTATATAATACTGTTGAGCATTCCATTTCTTTATGCTCTTAAATAAAAAAAGAGAACTTTTAGGCATATAAAAATATTAAATGTCATCCATGAGTGTCTTCAGAACCTTCTTCCCTTGGCCACTACCACTGGTTTAAAAGCTTTGTTTTCCTAATGGGACCCCATGCTTGAACTCAGATATGTAGTTCCAGTAGGAAATTTAATATATTACAATGAAAAGTGGCCACAGTTCTCAGAGGAGCATATCCAAAACTTCAGATATGAGTTTGTAAGTCTTTTGTGACCATGAAAAGTATGGCACAAACTGAGACTCTTCCTTTTATAGCACTGTATATCATGCCTCAAAAGCATCTATTTTATATCTATATACATCATAGATATGCTGTGATTTTTTTATACATATTATGCATTCTGACAACAGGAATAGAGATTCTTGGATTCCAGACAAGACTGAGGGAAGAGTTTGGGCATTCATGCAAGAAACAAACCTTGTAACGCAGCCAGATGAATGTCTCCATGGTACAACGTAGGGACAGAATGTAATGAAATCCGAGGCTGTCTTGCAAATCTCAAGTGGCAGAACTGACCCGAGGCTCACTCCTGCGACTGCCATAGCACTAGTTGACGAAGTTCTGATTTGGCCCTTTAGCAACAATCCTGCCAATGAATAACACAGAGAGTGCAAAAAGGCAACCAAAGCGGCACAGTTCTTTAGTTATATAGTGAGGGCTGACCTAATATGTTTGCATCAAATGAAACAAGCTGAAAGGCCTTTTTAAAATCTAAATTAACACCATGCAAAATGCAAGAAACCATTTGAAATATTTTTGAAGTAATGCCACCTTTTGATTAGGATAAAGTTTCACAAAATATGCTGGTGGAACAAGGTGAAAGGAACTGTCAACTTAGGAAAAAGAATTGGCTTCTTCATATGCCCTCCTTTGCTTCCTTCTTTATTTTCAGACCTCATAGATAGATGTGTTTGCAAGGCAAGAATTTGAACTTTTTTTCAGTTCTGCTAACTGAGTAACTATCAATATTCTCTCCCTCTGAAGTATGTGGATCAGTGTCCAGTTACCCAGGAAAGAATTTTCTGTAGTATCTGGCTGGTGAATCTTGCCCATATGCTCAGGGTTTAGCTGATCGCCATATTTGGGGTCGGGAAGGAATTTTCTTCCAGGGCAGATTGGAAGAGGCCCTGGAGGTTTTTCGCCTTCCTCTGTAGCATGGGGTACGGGTCACTTGCTGGAGGATTCTCTGCTCCTTGAAATCTTTAAACCACAATTTGAGGACTTCAATAGCTCAGACATAGGTGAGAGGTTTTTCGCAGGAGTGGGTGGGTGAAATTCTGTGGCCTGCGTTGTGCAGGAGGTCAGACTAGATGATCATAATGGTCCCTTCTGACCTTAGTATCTATGAATCTTTTTGAACTTGTAGCTCTCTGCACTGTGCCACGTGATTTTGGTCTGGAATTTACCAGTAGTATTATAAACATCTTTTAAGACAAGTTTCAGTGGTAGCTGTGTTAGTCTGTATCTTTTACTTCATACATCTGATGAAGTGGGTTCTAGCCCATGAAAGCTTATGCCCAGATAAATTTTTTAGTCTCTAAGGTGCCACAAAGACTCCTCTTTCAAGAGGTTTTGTTAAAGTTACCATTCTGTATAGCAATTTAATATCGTCACTGTTCCTAGTCAGATTCCTAAGACTTTTGTATCTCCTCAGCAGACCACTACTTGTAATAGCTGCTAGAGTCTTTGGGCCATCACAAGAATTTGGTTTAGGTTCCCTTCTGGTGTCAGTTGGATTTATTTTTAGTGAGGAAGGGAATTTTTGACAACCTTCACTATCCCTATCAAGGTGTAAAAGGTTACTCCCACCCCTGACCTTGTATAATTCTGTGTCACAATTCTGAATTGCAGCTGTCTCAGAACTCTGGTTCTCCAGGGTTAGTCACACAGGCTTCTGGGACATCAAAAACAATTTGCAAATTCTGGAAATCAATAAGTTAATATAAATTTATGAAACTATTAACTATACTTCCCCTCTCCCTAACAATAAATATATCTGATCACCTACAACCATTTTGGCAGTAAAACATATTTCTTAGACCGTATTAAAGAGCTTGCTGGTAAAGCCCTTGAAAATTGCGAGAGCAAAAATAATAGGTGTAGAAACCAAAATGGTGTTCCTGATTGTAGTACTTAAATTGAAAACTGGGTAATTTTATGGCTATATCAACAGGATTGTTCATTGAAAAGGAACAGTGAATTTTCAGAAGAGCACATAGGCTCCCAAAGATAGCATAAAGGAAAAGATCTCATAAATGAGGGAAATGAAGCAGTTTTCATAAAGTAGATGCCACAGTTCATTTCCCTTACTCTTCAGGTTTTTTTTTTTTTTTTAAATTAACTAGATTTGGAACATACAACAAAGGCCTATGCAAAGACATGAGTTACTCCCTTTTGAGTTAGAAGAGGGAATGAAAATTATAACCTTGTACAAGGTACTTCCACTTAGAGGGGGCATACTCTCAAATACAGTGCTGGTTCTTGGGCTTTTGTAATCCTGCTTCACAAACTAGAAAACGTAGAAGACTTTCCTCACAACCCACAGTCGTTAACACAAAAAAATCATTTAAACTTTGTGCTTCAGTAGGTTCTTGTTCTGCCTTTTTTGGGAGAGCCATTCTCAATTACATTGGGCAGGGGGGTTATGGTGTCCTGTGATCTTGGTATAAACACAATAAATACTCGATTCTCTTTAGTTGATGCTTTCCCATCCCCTTCTTTCTGAATTGCCCATAGTTCAAGCTCTACTTTTAAAGAAGATTTTTCTCTTTCAGCCACTCTCCCTCTAGCTAAGAGAGATCCTTTATATAATTCCTCCTCAGGATGTTATAATTTTTTCTGTATCCATAATAGATTCTGGCGTCTCGTCCCTGATTCTCAGAGACTGGGGCAGACTAGCTGAGGTGGCTTTCCCTAATGCTCATTCCCCAGGCAAGATTTTGATGGCATATGATACAGCAAGAAGGTTATAGGCATTAGATAATCTAGCAGTGAAAATCAGTAATGTGTAAACAGTTAGAAGATGTTGAGTTTTCAGTTTTTTAAATTGACAACACTGTATTAAATTGTTCACATAAAGATATCCGTCTGGCAAATAGTAATTCTCAGTGGCTTGTTTCTAGCCACTTATGCTAGTAAGAACTGTTGTCATGTAATTTGAGTCTTATTTCTAGATGTATCTCAAGTTCTTATCTACGAGGTAAAAATTGCTCATCATTTGGTCACTTAAGCTATGTCTACACTATGAGCTAGGTGGCTGATCCCCTTGCTTGTGTACATATAGTCGCGGTAGCTCTCTGAGCTAGCGCAAGTATGAAATAGCAGTGTAGCCACGGTTGCATGGGTAGTGGCAATGGAGCTGTGCCGAATACAAACATCGAATCATAGAAGGGACCACAAGGGTCATCTAGTCCAGGGGTTCTCAAACTTCATTGCACTGTGACCCCCTTCTAATAACAAAGTTATTACATGACCCCAGGAGGGGGCCAGAGCCCAAGCCCTGCCGCCTTGGGTGAGGGGAGAAGGGGCCACAGCCCGAGCCCCGTCGACTTGGGTGGGGGGAGAAGGGGCCACAGCCCAAGCCCTGCCGCCTTGGGTGGGGGTGGAGCTCGGGCTCGGGCTTCAGCCCTGTGTCCCAGCAAGTCTAATGCTGGCCCTGGCAACCCCATTGAAATAGGGTTATGATCCACTTTGGGGTCCCGACCCTCAGTTTGAGAACCACTGATCTAGTCTAACCCCGCCAAGATGCAGGATTTGTTATGTCTAAACCATCCAAGACAGATGGCTATCCAACCTCCTTTTGAAAACCTCCAGTAAAGGAGCTTCCACAACCTCCTAGGCAGTCTGTTCCATTGTCCTACTGTTCTTACAGTTAGGAAGCTTTTCCAGAGACTTAATCTAAATCACCTAGGCTGTAGTTTGAACCCATTGCCTCTTGTCTTGCCCTCTATGGCAAGAGAGAACAACTTTTCTCCATCTTCTTATTGCAGCCTTTCAAGTATCTGAAGACTGCTATCCTGTCCGTCCGTCTGTCCGCCCTATTTCCTCTTTTGCAAACTTAACATACCCCCAGTTCCTTCAGCCTTTGCTCAGATGGCTTGCTTTCCAACCCTTTGATCATCTTTGTCACTTGCCTCTGGATCCTTTCCAGTTTCTGTACATTGATGAGCAAAACTGGACACAGTACTCCAGCTGAAACCAGTGGGTATATACTCAGCACAGCCCGTCCCTCCACTGCCCCTACTCTTCCTACCACAGCTACTCTGTTAGTTATACTCGCTAGTGTGTGACTGTGTATATATGAGCAGGGAAATAACACCCCTAACTCATACTGTAGACATAGCCTTAGGCAGCTGGCAGAGAATCCAGCTGTGCTATAAAAGGATGAATTTGACCAAAAATTGCCAGGGTCTGAAAAAGTGTGTTGCTTTGTGTGGTCGATCCAAGTTGAGGAAAAACACAAGTGTCTGTTGTATAGGAGCACCGAAAAACCTGGCAGTGCTGCTGTCTCACAAACAAGATAATAAAGAATGAATTTTACTCTGCTTGGTTTATTGTTGGTCCCAGTAAGTTGAGTTCTTTGGACCTTTTGAAAGTCTCCTCATGATTTCTGTTTTGATCAGCTTCATACGTGGTTTTATAGAGGTCACAAATTTGTCCTTCAGTGTTGTTTGTGTGTGTGTGTGTTCTTTTTCTGTCAACATTCCATTACTTAGTATGACTTCCCACCCCTGTGGCCAGCTAATGGAAAGAACCTATAGTAAGCTTACTGTAGATATCATGCTAATTTGTGGTATTCCTGAGTTTAATGGAGTTTCACCCATTCTTGCTACCAGAGGTGGCCATCAAAATTCAGTTTTATTAGAATGTAGACTAGGGCAAAAGTCTGTACAACAGATGATAGTACCTAGCTCTTGTATTGCACTTTTCATCAGTAGATCTCAAAGCATATTACAACAAATGCTTCCTTCTATAGCTGATTTGCTTGGATAAATAGAATGAAATGATGAGAAAATAGTATAACCACTAAAATACCTAATATTTTTATCTGCCAGGACCTAATGGACAAGTTAGGGCACTGAAGACTCACTGGCAGCGCTTTAACGTGGCTTGTGTAGAAAAAACCTAAAAAACCCACCTCCACAAGGGGAATAGCTACCAGTGCTGGGGCACTGACTACACTGGCACATTACAGCGCTGAAAATTGCAGTGCTCCGGCGCGTGTTTTTTCACACCCCTGAGTGAGAAAGTTGCAGCACTGTAAAGTGCCAGTGTAGACAAGCCTTTAGTCTGCAACTTTTTCAGAAGCTTGAAGATTTGCACTTGTGTATCTTGCTGCATTGTGCATTCTAGTAAACATAATAGAGAATTTAGCACTTAGCAGGCCGTGTCCTTAGCTCAAATTGTCATAGCTTCATTGAGGTCATACACTTTTTCAGCAACAATCCTAATATTTACCACTTCACAGTGTAATTCAAATGCTAATTTATTCTCACACCATTTAATCCTTTCTGTCCCAACACATGACCACTTCTCCATGCCCTCAAAAAGAAAAGGAGTGCTTGTGGCACCTTAGAGACTAACCAATTTATTTGAGCATAAGCTTTCGTGAGCTACAGCTCACTTCATCGGATGCCTTCAGTGGAAAATACAGTGAGGAGATTTATATACACACACAACATGAAAAAATGGTAGTTATCATACACACTGTAAGGAGAGTGATCACTTAAGATGAGCTATTACCAGCATCTCTTGCCTTGTTTACTGTAACTCCCTTTCTTGTTTATACTAGGGAATTTTTACAGAAAATTCATAGTTTGCACCAGTATTAGCAATAAAAGGAGGGCTAATATAGTTCTAATATAAGGCCTTTGGCAGTCCTTTCCAGCACCACGTTTTTTGGCAGGTTTAGTTGACACAGAGCTGACACATTGCCAATACCAGCCACATACTCCAGGACTCCCAACATTGCCAAAAAGATGCAACTGAATTGGTGTTAGTTGTGGTGGGGATTGGTTGTAAATGGGCCTTAGTGTAGACCAGACACAGAATGTAATAAAGATGACACAGAGGATACCTGGTAAGATTCAGCCCTGCCCCTGGTTTCTCACTTGGTTACAGGAGATTATACTCCTGTCACACAGCAGGGCCTGCATCCATTGACTCTGTTGGTTACTGCTACGGTTTTCCCTCCATGTTATTTTTACTTGAATATTTAATGCAGGGGTTGGCAACCTTCGGCACGCAGCCCATCAGGGTAATCCGCTGGTGGGCTGTGAGACGTTTTGTTTATGTCGACCATCCGCAGGCACAGCTCCCAGTGGCTGTGGTTCGCCATTCCTGGACAATGGGTTCCTGTAGCTCCCCTTGGCCAGGAACAGCGAACCGCGGCCACTGGGAGCTGCGAGGGGCCGTGCCTGTGGACGGTCAATATACAAATGTCTTGCGGCCTGCCAGTGGATTACCTTGATGGGCCACATGCCAAAGGTTGCTACCCCCTAGTCTAATGCAAATAAAAAACCCGCACAAGTTAACAGACACATCTTGGTTGGAGGTCAGGGAAAGTAACCTGAATTCCCTGAGAGATGACAGGAGTATTCTGCCCCACATAGGACATTTTGTCTATAATTACAGTTTCTGAATCTCAGTTGTCTTCTAAACACACACTTCTCCTTCCCTAAACAGTCCCTTCTGTTGTGGCCGCTCAGATGGGTTCTCTATGTGGAGCCTGTTTTTCTTTATAGTATCAGGGTATGTGCTATTTCTGTCTGTGCACAAGTACTGTTAGTAGCATTCTGGAAGTCCTCAGGAAACAGCCGGTGTCTTCCTTTAGGTTCTTTAGATGTCTTCTGATTCTTTGCAGGGATATTGTACAGAGATGATTGTTAGCTGGTTTAGCTGTTACCTTGACAAGTTGCCACCCACTTTCTCATGGAACTGTTACTCTCTTCCACTTGCAATAGTGGTAACTGCTTCGTGTCTTGTAGTAATATATCTTCTGTTCTAGGCTCTTCACATACAATCCAGTAGACTAGTAGAGAGCACCTCAGGGTAATTGTGTTTGGCTTGATAAGCTTGTTGGAACTAAAGGTTTTTTGTCTTTCTGTTCTTAAATACCTGAACCCAGGAGTCTAATGAACCATTATGAAGGTGTGTTGCAGTATTCTAAGAATTCCAAATATGGAATCATGGGCTTTTAAAAATCAAGTTCTTTGTGGTGATTCTTTTGCTATCCCATTTTACTGTGTGTAGTAAGAATTTGACATGGTGCACTTCAACTAATCCTAGAAAGAATTGTCTAAATGAGTTGCTATTCTTGACATTGTTGCTCAGTTTTCTTGTGCAGTAGCTCAGTAGTAAAACATCTATCTAGGTTATTATATTGGCACTAATCATAGTAATATCTGAGCACCTTCCAAGAATAAAACTGAAACCTAGCTCAGATACTGTGCATCATACTGGTAAAGGAAAGCAAAAACTGATCACTTAAACTAAATAAAATAAACCCATCCCTTTAACTCTGGCAGTCTGTACTGAGAAAGTTTGCCCTCTGGAAGAAAAGTGCTATCTTCAATTAATATTTTGTTTTCTTTTGTGAAGCCTAACAGAGAATCTGAAAGTGCTGTAATTCTGCAGATCATCTGTAAACCAAATCTGAGTTTATGAGTAAATGTGAGTTACAGAAAATAACAAGAACTAGTTGTCCGGGCTTGCTGGAGGAAGGTAGCAGTGCTTTATGGTGAGGGAGGGGTGGGAAGGAGGTCCGAAACTGCTGCAAAAAGATGGGTGGTGGTCAGGTTGGCGGCACTGACTTCCCTCGGGAACATAAAGGTGGAAGGCTTTAAAAGGTGCAAGCTCTGGCATTGGAAGCTCCTTCTCCAAGCAGCAGACAAGGCAGCACCCACCCTCCCTCCCCTCATGGTGCGAATATCAGGTTGGGTTAAGTCCTGCTGTGGGCATTGCACTAGTTGCTCCTTTTTGGGTGGGGACTAGGAAGGAATTTCCCCTCACCTCCTATTGGCTTTGGTGGAGTGGAGTTTTTTCTCCTTCCCCACAGCGGGTGTTGGGGAGGACCTATTATGGTGAGGAGGAAAAGTGGTTAGGCTATCTGTCGCAACTTATTTTGTAAGTGTAGGGTGGATGTTCAGTGTAGGTACTCCATAGGGAAGGCATCCAGTGATCAGATAAATGGTCTGGTTAAAGGACTTAACAAGGATCTGCTGGTTAAAGGAAAGGAATGGAATGGGGTGGACGGGGAGAAGGAGGTTCGGGGATCCTATGATTGGTACGGCAGGGAGCCAACCCCTCTTTCTTATAGCCCACCTTAACTCTCCTATGAGGGAGGGTGAATGGTAAGGTCCAAGCCGTGAGGGACCTGGATGGAAAATGAAAGTGAGCTGGTGGAAGCCCCAGGTAGTTATTTGAATGAACATGGAGTTGCGTGCCAGGTAGTTCCAGACATCTAATAATAAAGTTGCAGCTTGATTAAATTCATATCAAGTGTCTCCTGCCCTTCTTTCAGTATAGCTGGACAACAGCTACGTTGACTGAAATTGAAATAGTGGTTGAGGGGAAAATCTTTTTTTTTTTTTGGATTCAGTTTATGATGTGCATTTGACCATGCTCTATGTAAAATCAGTTTGACTGGAGTTTTTTTTTTTTATAGCGACTTCCATGCACAAGTATGATGACCCCATTCTCATACGGGGCAGGGAGGAACATAGCAGCTGATGTATCCTGTCTCTGCATAGGGATCTAAGGCAAAGGAGACATTCTTTTGGCCTCAGACTCAGGAACAACACCCTTCGTAGTTCTGACTCTGCACGGGACTGGACCTCAATGGGTTCTTGGAACGCAAGAGATCCTCTTTCGTTCCCTTAAGTGCCCTTTGTGGGGCTAAGAAATGACTGAAACATGGGAGTTAGAAGAGACCAGTTTTTTCTTCCATAGGTCACTTGACAGGGAGGCCCTTTCTCAGCATTGCTGCTGCTGGAGAGTCTGGCAGGGAGGAGTTTCCACAGGCCAGGAGAGGAGAAGGGATAGGCTCAAATGCACTTGGAATGGTTGCTCTTGAATTTATTCATTCTCCCTTGCTAAAAATCAGCAGGGAGACAGGAAAAGAAAATCTGTTCTGTGGATTTTAAAATATTTATACATATAATATAAAAAGTTAGGATGTACTATTTAAACTAGCAGAAATTTGAATTTTTGAAAATCGTTAATTTTGATATTTTCCCTTTTGACAGTATCATAATGCTGAATAATAATTACAGCTTCTAGTTGCCATGTGTCTCTGTGTCTGTATGTGCATATTTAAGGTGGGATTTTCAAAAACACTCAAGTGTTGGCTTAACTCTACCCCATTGAACTCAATGGTAAAACTTCCATTGATTTCAGTGGGAAGAGTTAGGCATACATATGGTGAGAGCTTTTGAAACTTCTACCTGGGGCAGTGGTGGGAAGGATTTTTTTGTTTTTGTTTTTTAAATTGTGGTATGATGCTCCACACAGCATAAGAATCAAAATGATTTTTTAAATACAAAATATTACAAGGAACAGCAAAGAAAATTGCAAATGAACTTACATTTAGAATTGAAAGAAAATGGTGAACTAATGTTTTATATTTCATTTACTGTTGTACTAGGTTCAGGATGTTGTCCCTATCACCAGCTACGATACTGCTGGATCTTTCCTACTGCTGGGCTGTAACAATGGCTCTATATATTACATCGGTAAGAACAAAAAGAGCAAAATTAAGATTAATGTTCAATTTTGTTAAAATAATTATTCCTAACAGGAATATTATTTCTTGTTCATAAATGTAATCATTATTATGAACTAACTTTAAATTTCTGCTGTTTTTTATTTGGATATCACTTATATTTTTTTATGCAGATATGCAGAAGTTTCCCTTGCGAATGAAGGATAATGATCTTCTCGTGACAGAACTTTATCATGATCCCTCCAATGATGCCATTACAGCACTCAGTGTCTACCTCACACCCAAGACAAGTTTGTATCATGCATCATTTACATTCCCTTAAAACTCATTGCACATAGAGGCTTCACTTTCATATTTTAAAAGTATTTTAGATTTCTAACAGCTGTAGCACTGATAAGGCTACTTAAGGATTGTGTGCTATATTCCATTATAAAACAGTTATCAGTGTTTAATTGTCATTTTCATTAGTCTTAAAATTGGTGTACAGACTGTCAACCTGGGCATGAATTTAATTTAAAAAAATATTTTAGAAAGGATATACTATGGTTTGGAATGGCAGATAGTATTGGTTTGGATTAAGTTGCATTCCGAAACCTCTTTAGGAAGATATTCACAGCACCTTTATTCTACACTTTAACCAGTTTTGTTAGTCCTTCACTTTCATAGAATCATAGAATATCAGGGTTGGAAGGGACCTCAGGAGGTCATCTAGTCCAACCCCCTGCTCAAAGCAGGACCAATCCCCAACTAAATCATCCCAGCCAGGGCTTTGTCAAGCCTGACCTTAAAAACTTCTAAGGAAGGAGATTCTACCACCTCCCTTGGTAACGCATTCCAGTGTTTCACCACCCTCCTAGTGAAAAAGTTTTTTCTAATATCCAACCTAAACCTCCCCCACTGCAACTTGAGACCATTACTCCTTGTTCTGTCATCTGCTACCACTGAGAACAGTCTAGATGCATCCTCTTTGGAACCCCTTTTCAGGTAGTTGAAAGCAGCTATCAAATCCCCTCTCATTCTTCTCTTTCACAGACGAAACAATCCAAGTTCCCTCAGCCTCTCCTCATAAGTCATGTGTTCCAGTCCCCTAATCATTTTTGTTGCCTTCCGCTGGACGTTTTCCAATTTTTCCACATCCTTCTTGTAGTGTGGGGCCCAAAACTGGACACAGTATTCCAGATGAGGCCTCACCAATGTCAAATAGAGGGGAATGATCACGTCCCTCGATCTGCTGGCAGTGCACCTACTTATACAGCCCAAAATGCCAGTGGCCTTCTTGGCAACAAGGACACAGTGTTGACTCATATCCAGCTTCTCGTCCACTGTAACCCCTAGGTCCTTTTCTGAAGAACTGCTGCCTAGCCATTCGGTTCCTAGTCTGTAGCGATGCCTGGGATTCTTCCGTCCTAAGTGCAGGACTCTGCACTTGTCCTTGTTGAACCTCATCAGATTTCTTTTGGCCCAATCCTCTAATTTGTCTAGGGCGCTCTGTATCCTATCCCTACCCTCCAGTGTATCTACCTCTCCTCCCAGTTTAGTGTCATCTGCAAACTTGCTGAGGGTGCAATCCACACTATCCTCCAGATCATTTATGAAGATATTGAACAAAACCGGCCCGAGGACCGAACCTTGGGGCACTCCACTTGATACCGGCTGCCAACTAGACTTGAGCCATTGATCACTACTCACTGAGCCCGACAATCTAGCCAGCTTTCTATCCACCTTATAGTCCATTCATCCAGCCCATACTTCTTTAACTTGCTGGCAAGAATACTGTGGGAGACCATGTCAAAAGCTTTGTTAAAGTCAAGGAACAACACGTCCACTGCTTTCCCCTCATCCACAGAGCCAGTTATCTCGTCATAGAAGGCAATTAGATTAGTCAGGCATGACTTTCCCTTGGTGAATCCATGCTGACTGTTCCTGATCACTTTCCTCTCCTCTAAGTGCTTCAGAATTGATTCCTTGAGGACCTGCTCCATGATTTTTTCAGGGACTGAGGTGAGGCTGACTGGCCTGTATTTCCCAGGATCCTTCTCCTTCCCTTTTTGTAAAGATGGGCACTACATTAGCCTTTTTCCAGTCATCCAGGACTTCCCCTGATCGCCATGTGTTTTCAGAGATAATGGCCAATGGCTCTGCAATCACATCCGCCAACTCCTTTAGCACTCTCGGATGCAGCCCATCCGGCCCCATGGACTTGTGCTCTTCCAGCTTTTCTTAATAGTCCCGAACCACTTCTTTCTCCACAAAGGGCTGGTCACCTCCTCCCCATGCTGTGCTGCCCAGTGCAGTAGTCTGGGAGCTGACCTTGTTCGTGAAGATAGAGGCAAAAAAAGCATTGAGTACATTAGCTTTTTCCACATCCTCTGTCACTAGGTTGCCTCCCTCATTCAGTAAGGGGCCCACACTTTCCTTGACTTTCTTCTTGTTGCTAACATACCTGAAGAAACCCTTCTTGTTACTCTTAACATCTCTTGCTAGCTGCAACTCCAGGTGTGATTTCGCCTTCCTGATTTCACTCCTGCATGCCTGAGCAATATTTTTATACTCTTCCCTGGTCATTTGTCCAATCTTCCACTTCTTGTAAGCTTCTTTTTCGTGTTTAAGATCAGCAAGGATTTCACTGCTAAGCCAAGCTGGTCGCCTACCATATTTACTATTCTTTCTACACGTTGGGATGGTTTGTCCCTGTAACCTCAATAAGGATTCTTCAAAAACACCAAAACTCTTATCAGTTTGGTCCTTGTGCTATGTGACAAGGTGGTCACAGTCTTAGGTGTCCTGTTCCAGTTTGGTCAGACTGTGCCAAAGTTGCTTGCCAGGAGTCTCTGCACCCAAGCATTAAAGGGCATTAAGAGACCTTCAAGAACATGGGTTCAGATCAGAGTTCCCACTATTAGTCTTGACAGTTTGGGGTTGCTCTTTTGATCTTGTGTGTTCTGAGCAGATGGAGTGATCCCCAGCCTTAAGGAAGAATAAAAAGTATAACGGAACAGCGTAGACATAATGGTGTTTTACTGAAAAATAATGCTACATCATTGATAAACTTCATTCAAGTTCCTGGCCCATACTTCACCCTTTCATGTACTGTCATAACCATTTGGAGATAAAGCAAAAACCACAAAACTAACTCTGATATATGAAGGTTATTACTTTTAAATGTGGGATGTAGATATTTTTTCAGATGAAGATATAGGCATTTCATCAAATTCATTACATTTTTTTTTTGTTTATCTTTCCCATACCACCAGTATTGTTAATACAACATTTTTTCTGCCTTAATATAATTGCCTCCCCCCACAAGGAGAAGTAAATCTTGCAAGACAGGTGCTAGTCTCCGTATTTCTAAACTCTAAAAAGCACTGAAATGCCTCTTTGGGGCCACAGACAAGGAACTGGCATATAGTATGTGTTTTGGGATTTGCTTGGTCTCTTCCCTCATATCCTTTTTTTTTTTGTTTTGGGAACTGCAGGATGCACTGGGGTATATTGCACAACAGTAGATAGCAGATACTTGCAGAGTAGGTAAAATGAATGTCACCCCTTTTAGAATATTTGTGCTGAAATAAGTAGCTATTCCGTGTTACAGATCTGCTGATGTAACTTTTTTCTCCTTTTGAGGAATGGTGGTTGGTTTAAAACATCTCAATGTTTGTGCCTTTTGTAGGTGTAAGTGGTAATTGGATTGAGATTGCGTATGGCACCAGCTCCGGAGCAGTAAGAGTGATTGTACAGCACCCTGAAACAGTGGGGTCAGGCCCTCAACTTTTTCAGACCTTTACAGTTCATCGAAGTCCTGTTACAAAAATCATGCTGTCTGAGAAACATCTTGTGTCAGGTAATCTTATTTATATGTACAGATGCACATGTGTGTCACTCATTCTCCTTTTTCTATTTCTTCTAATGTTCATGCTCCTTGTCTCTCCCTTTCTTCAGATCCCATCCTTTGGAATTACTAAACATGGTAGATTATGTACAGAACAGTATATTAAGAAAAAGAAACTTCTAAAAAGATTAATGGCATTGCAAACTTACTTAAGGAAATGTCTGTTAATTATACTACTGTTACAATACATCTCATTTTAACATCTGCATACAATAAGAGTTGGGTTAAAATGATCTATATGCGTGTCCTAATCTTGGTCTTTATAAGATGTTTAATATTTATACAATATATTGTATTCCATTTGCAGCAATTCATGATAGGCTTGTTCCAGAAAAACAATAAAATATCTAATAAAATATACTAATTTCTGAAACCTGCAATAAAATATGGGTTAAATTAACCCAATTCTCTGCATATACCAGTCTGTTATCAGAACCAACAGTTGTGCATATAGCTGTAAATTTCCAGTTAAGTAAATTGGGTGGAGGTATCTTGCATGTGGACAGAGAATCATAAAATAGAATATGATTCTTGTGCATTTCAGATCTTATTCATAACACCGTCTAACAGAGTTATTTTTGCATTGAATATCATTAAAATTTTTTAAAGAAATGGAAGAAAATAAGAAATTGTTTAAATGAATTCCAAAGTGGGTTTTTGTGTGTGCGCGCGCGCAAATCCTTGCTGTAAATGCAATAAATGTCTTTATTTGAATATGCTCACATTCAGATAAACGCAAATTTAATTGGATATGTGACTGAAATAAATGTTTTCATTTGTTTTAACCGTCAGTGCATACAAGGCTACAGCAGCGTGTAGAGTACAGACACTTTACACCCAGCTAGCACAGGTATAAATAGCAGTGCAGATGGTGAGAGGTGGCTTAGGCCAATAGAACAGACTGCCTTATATGCCGGAACCCCAGGGTATGTACGCTGCACAGATCTCTACATGTCTAAACAGTGCCCCCTATGTTTACATTTTTTACTGTTTTTAGCAGTGTAGTGTCTGCTGCTGGAGCTTTTCCCTGTTGCAGTGAAAGGCTCTGTCAGTGTGGAGGCAGCAGGGAAAGGGGTCTTTCCCTGCTGCCTCCCCATGCCGGAGTCTTTCTTTGCCACAGTGAAAGACTCCAGCAGCAGGGAGCCTTTCACTGCGGCGTGTAGCTACAGATGTAGTGTTTGTACTCTGCACGCTGCTGTAAGTGTAGAGTTAGCCCAAGATGCATGTTCTTGAATACGTAATTTTGAAACGTTGTAACTTCATGTGTTAAAATAATGTGTGGTACGTAGGTTTAATTGGATTTTAAAGCCAGAAGGGACCATTATGGTCATCTAGCCTAACTTCCTGTATAACACAAGCCAGAGACCCTCACCCAGTAATTCATACCAATTGTATAAGTGACACTGTGGAGTTCAGTAATTTGAACTTGAACTAGTGCTTCTTTCAGAAAGACAGACATCCAGTTTGGATTTAAAGGCTCCAAGTGATGTAGAATTTAACATTTCTATCAGCAAGCTGTTCCAGTGACTGTTGCTCTGTTGTCAGTTGTTTAATTCTGAGATGCATTTATGCTTGAGATGGTTTGTTTATGAGAAGAGCAAGTGTGTATGATGAGATGGGTGAGTTAATATCTTTTATTTATCCCTGGGGGAATTCTGCACATAATATTTTAAAATTCTGCATATTTTGTCAAAATAACGCAATATATTTACATCAGTTTCACTTATTTTGGTAATTTATTTCAAAATACCTGTGAGCAAGTATGTCTATAACAGTACAGACAACAAAAAAGTTTCCCCCAGGAGTAGCGAGTTTAAGAAATCCCTACAACACCCCTGTTCCAGTTTCTCTGTTATGCTTTTGTTGGGTGCCTCAGGTTGGGTGTGTCACACGTGCCAGCTGGGCACATCTTGGAGGAAAATTCTGTCCCACTGGTCTTTTAGTCAATTCTTGTTTTTTTGCCCTGCCCCCATAGGGTTACCATATTTAAAAGTTCCCAAATAGAGGACACTACTGGGAGGGGAGGGGTGTGTGAACTGAGAGGGGCCATTTAGGGGGTGTTGGAGGGTGTGTGTGTGTACTGGGAGAGGATACTTGGGAGATGCGGGGGGGCCCCCCCCGGCTCACACCTGCACCCCCACCCCCCCCAGCCTAGCCACGGGGCCAGACACATGCACCCTTTTCCCCCAGAGCCCAGCCACAGTGCGCCGCCTGGCTCAGATTCCTGCACCCCCCTCCTGCCCCCAGAGCCCAGCCACAGGCTCCACTCCGCGCAGCTTCATTACTGTCCCATCGGGCAGTAACGACCCGTACCTACTGTTAGCGGGGGGGCACAATTTTAAGATTTGGTCACCCCTGGAACAACTTGAGTCATACCCCCCTCGCCCTCAGTCTCCCCTCCTGGAAAGCAGCGGCTCCTTCCTGCAGCTCTGGCGGCTGCCACGCAGGGAGGGGGCCTGGCTGCACCATGTGGCCGAAGGGGGCTGGCAAACCTGGAACTGCAGTCTGCCTGTGCCTGTATGTGAACTAGGTGCTGGGCTCTACCAGGTCCAGCAGCCCCTAATGGCAGTCAGCAGCGCCAATTCTGCGGTGAAAAACAAAATTCTGCACAAATTCTGCTTTCTGCAGTATTCCCCCAGGAGTATTTATTGGACCAACTTCTCTTGGTGAGAGGGACAAGCTTTTGAGCTACATAGTATTACCTCACCCACCTTGTCTCTCTAATATCATGGGACTGACTTGGCTACTACAACACTGCATGCAAGTGTGTGTGTGAGAGACTGCAACAACAGTAAGATGTAACACCTTCACATGTTAATTAAACCTTACAACAGCACTGCAGGGTAGGTAAACAGTTGATGATATTCCTACTTTATAGATGGGAAAACCAAGGCAGAAAAGCTCCGTGACTTGTATAATCCATAGCCAAAACTATTATCAGAGTTAGAAGTCAGGAGTTGTACAGTACACACAGTATGCACAGGACCCGCTTTTCAAATGTTTGTAACTTTTACAGTCCAAATTATTCAGAATGTATTGCTACTTTTAAGGCTTTTGTAAGCATTTTGATTCAGAAAACCAAATAAGTAATTTAACTATTGATGACCACAATTTCCTCTCATTTTGTTATCGCAATTGATTGAATGCATTTTATTGAACTTGCTCAGAAGTTAATGTTTTTTTAATTACTGAGGGTAATAGCAGTGAAACAGCCCAAGCCTGAGTCAGCTAGCACAGGCCAATCGCGGATGTCTAGTTGCTGTGTAGACATACTCTGAGAGACCAGATAATTTTAATTACATCCTTAATGTTATGGCTTATAAATTAAAATGTGTTTTAAAAACAGTCTTTCATCTCTTGTAAATATTCCAATGTTTCTGGGGTTTTTTTGTTTTCTGTCTAGTTTGTGCCGACAACAACCACGTTCGGACATGGACAGTGACTCGATTCAGAGGAATGATTTCCACACAGCCAGGGTCTACTCCCTTAGCTTCATTCAAAATCTTGTCCTTGGAGGAAACAGAAAGCCATGGTAGTTACTCTTCTGGAAATGACATAGGTAGGCAAAATGTTTTTCTATTACTTCGTACTGGACTTTTGGAGGGCTACTGTGCTCTTGAAGGTTCATCGGAGGCATTTAGCCTGATTCTGCTCTTGCTTCACATTCATGTGACTCCATTGACATCAGGTGTGTGAGTCTGATTTACACCAGAGTAATTACAGCATAATCAGTTTGCATTTTGATAATACTGTGGCATGTCTATAATATTCCTGTTTGAAAACTGATTCCAACTAGAGTGAATCTGATTTGTCTTTACAATACTGGGCAAATTGGCTTCCCAGAGGGACCCATTTAAGAGAAGTTGTGCCTTGTGATTCCTATAAATTACCTAGAATCTGTTGGTTACCTAATGTGCCCTTTTTGATAGCATTTTTATAGAGAGAGATAAGATGGAGATTATGAAAAAATATATTAGAACTGATTTGCATGAGATTTTTGGGTTTGTTTCACAATGTGCTATCACATTTTATAAATTAAACAAAAATTAAGATTATGCACGCATCTAATATTTAACATTATACTCGTATTACATTTCAAAACTACATTGAAACTGTCACAAAACCACCAGAACTGTGAAAACGCTAAGTAAAGACCAACATTGCACCTGCTGGTGCATGATGCTCTTTACAGATCACTGAATGGGTAGGCAGGTAGCAAACTGAAAAGCCATCCTCATTTGTTTTTTTAAATGTATCAGAAGGTTCTTGTTATATTCCTAAACTGTGCTTTCTGAGGCAAGGACTGTCTTTTATTTATACAGCACCTAGCACACTAGAACATTGATCCTCGATTGAGGCTTCCAGGTACTCCTGTAATGCATATACTGATAACAATTTGCTCTTAACTTTTTACGGTGTTGGTATTGTAGGGTCTTGGACTAGTGCAAAATGTTACATGTGGAGATGCCATCCGCTTTCAAGAGCAAGTTTCCCTTGGTTGTTTCCTGTTAAGACGTTTAGCGCCCTCCCCCCCCAAAAAAAAAGGTGGGGGGAAAAGTGATGGGCAATCTGTTAGTAATTGAATTAAGGCCTCCAACCTCTTTCGCAGGGGCTACCAAACAGCTGTAAAGACCTTTTCAGTCACTATAGGCCTGATTTTTTTTTTTTTCTTTTCAGTTTTATGAAGCACCTGTATCTCCGCTTGACATTAGAGGGTGGTGCAGGTGCTCAGCAATAATGAAAAATCAGACCTTAAAAAATTTGGTCACATTAGTGACCAAGAGGTGATGGACCCCATATTATATTTCATATCCCATAAATATTTTTTAGCAGTACATCATAACAAATTAACCCTTTAAATTAGAGTAATGGAAAATTACACAATATGGGTTTATTTTTTGTTTAAAATAAAAACAAAAATGCATCAAATTGATTGGACAGTCTAAAGTGAACATCTTCCTTGGTAGTTCAGAATTACTCAAAATAATTGGGTTTTCCATTGTGACTTGTCAGTAATTATACATCACAATGCAAAAGTAGTGTGGTGTTTTGCTAAACTAGAAATCAGTGTAGGTTCCTGGTTCCTTTAGTCCGACTGAATCTGTGTGAGTATTTTTTATTTCTAGACAGGGTAGGAATGGTTAACTTTTTGGAGTAATGTGTTTTGAAATACTTAGTTTCTCTTTCTAACTACAGGACCATTTGGAGAGCGTGATGATCAACAAGTATTCATCCAAAAAGTTGTTCCCGTCACTAATAAACTCTTTGTCAGGTTGTCTTCCACTGGGAAAAGGTAAAAGCACTCGTCATCTGTTGCATCTCTGATAAAATCCACTTATTGTACATATCCAAGAGCTGACACTAAGATAGTTGGCTCTGATACTTGTGCTAGCAAGTCAAAGCGCACAGATGCTGTATAGAACTCATTTCTCACTTACGCATTTGATGTGGGTATCTGACTGGTATAATCACTTTAATGTAAACATACAGGTGCTCTGCTCTAGTTTAATTATCAATGCCAACAATAAGTGGTGTCTGGTTTTGCTTTTACTTACTTCAACAGAAAAACCTCTTAAGAAAGAGAATAATTTCAAAAAAAGCATAGAAAGTGTAATTGTCAGATGTCTAAAGGCAACTTGAAAAATTGTTTGAACCCTTTTGGCTCTGCTTTTACTACACAATGTATTGCTTGAAAAAGGCCTTGACGAGTTCTTGGATAGATAATCTCAATAGACTTTTTGCTTTGGTACTCCCAGTCCTCATTCACTGGGCAAAATGGGGAACTGGCAGTCAGGATCCCCCTGGGTTATTTTTCTGGCATTGCTACTAGGTCACTGTGATGTTGGGCTAGTGAAGGTGTTTCTTTTTACCCATATGTAAAATGGATGTACTCTACCTTCCAGGGATATTTTGAGGCTTAATAAAAGTGCTGATTAGCATTGGATGAAAGGGGCTACATAAGGATAAAAAACATCAATTTGGGTTTCACTTGTAGCATAACAATAAAATTGTACTTTGCAAGTTAAATGCAAGCTGGCTGCAGGCAAACTGCGTGTACTCTTTTAATGGATGCTTAATTATGTTCCTGATTTTAGAGCGGTCTTCTGTTCTTCCATGTGTTGGTGTGTATTGCTACCTTTCATTAAAAAACTGATCCTGTGCTTGCTTTTAGTTTTAAAATAAATGAAAGCCAAAGCTGGTGTGGCAGTAGCTAACATGCTCTTGAAAGCCCTGGATACGAGTTTTAAATTGAAAGTGCTAGTACAGACATGGCTGTTAATAGTTCACCAGTCCCCCATACCTGTAACGCATGGCCTATCATCGGTTAATCTTGTAAGGAATAAAAATCCTTTAAGAGAATCAATCTTCTTTGCATCAAAGGTCATTACATATAGTCATAAGTAACTGTTAAAGTAATTAATCAAGAGAGTACATTTTCCATGCACCTAGGCTATCCATTTGACAGCTTGTTTGTTTTTTAAGCAAATAGCATTAGAAGTCCATAATATGGTTGGAGGCCAAAATATTGTCCCAATGAATGTTATAAATCACTGTGATTTAATGTTCCGTGCATACACAGTGAAGAAACTGCCAAATGTTTATTAAAATTGGTGTCATATTAGGATAAATTTTAACAAAGTAATAACTCAAAACCATTTTCAACTCTGACCTCTTTTTTTGTTTCCTGTCCTGTTTCGTTATGGCAGATTCTGTATTCTAATCAAACTATTCTTCCTTGATAACTTAATTAAGCCACAATTTAAATTTTGATGCCACAGTAATCTCAGTAGTTATGAGTAAAGCAAAACAGGAATTCTCATTGCTTAGCCATTTTCTCTTCCCTTTAATTCATGCAATGCAGGAGCAAGTTTCAGTTTAAATATCCTGTTTGTTTTGTGCACAAATAAGGATATTTGTAAAAACGCAGTGGAGTTGCAAAAAGCAAATCTACCATGCACTGGATTAGATGACTCCTAGAGCTGGCCTACATAGTAAGTTACTGCATGGCAAGTCAGGGTGTGAATCTATAGCACGCCAGCTTGCCCCATGCTAATGTCCAGTATTGATACTTCTACAGCGCAGTGAGAGTCTTGGAGTACAGGTTAGCATATTGTTGCACACTCTGGAGCTGTCACTGTGCTGGAGATTCATACCCTGGCTTGTCACACAGTTACTTGCCGTATAGCTAAATCCACAGTATGGAGGTACTCACCCTGGGCTATGATGGTAGTGGAATCTGTCCTCGAGTGTTTTAAAAAAAACCTGAACAATAAGTAAGAACAGGAAGGAGGTGGCTAACATCCCCGACTTTTACAGGCTTCCTGATTTCACTGTTGTGAAATGAAGTGAGGTGAGTGACATCAAACTACCCGAAACTTTAGTCATTTCATTCCGAACCTCATTTTTCCCTCTCATGTAATTCTTATCTTTTCATCTTGGTGTGACATTTTCTGAATTTAAATAAACTTTTTTTGCGTAAACTGGTTAGTTTTTAAATTCAGAGTTGCCCTGGATTTTGTTTCTCTTTGAGAACAAATACCTGTGACATGTTTGAAGGAATTTGTTCAGTAAACTTTAAAAACTGACAGCACTTGGAAATTACATGCTAGTCTTGTACAATACTTAATATATGGTGCTGGCTTTGAACACATTTTGAGCCCAGATCTCTCTGGAGAAGCACATGCAAACCTCGAATCAGGAAATCGGCAACCCAGATTCTATAAGAAAGCAGGAAACTAATTATGGTTTTTTTTTTTAAATGTGTAGCAGCTACTCGGTATTCTTTTGGAATCTTATTAAAAGTAACATTGAGAAGTGAATTGAAAAAAATTTTATGAGTTAGAAATGGGTGTTAAAAGTGAAGGTGTAATTCGGCATAAAACAAACCATAGCGCCTTCTATCCAGAGATCACAAATCTTAATAAATTAAACCTCACAATTGCCCTCCACGGTATGCGATACTATAGTTAGGATTATAATCTGTAATTGTGTTAAATGCCTTTTTGTAGAATATGCGAGATCCAGGCCGTAGACTGTACCACAATTTCTTCGTTTACTGTACGAGAATGTGAAGGATCCAGTAGGATGGGGTCAAGACCACGACGTTACCTCTTTACAGGTCATTCAAATGGCAGTATTCAGATGTGGGATTTGACCACAGCGATGGACATGGTTAATAAAAGTGAAGACAAGGGTAGGTTGTAATGTAGCAGAACTTATTTTTTGGCTCAAATGCTTGCATTAGAGGTGATCAGTGACCACTAACTTTCTTTTCTAAGATGTAGGGGGTCCAACAGAAGAGGAGCTGCTTAAGTTGCTTGATCAGTGTGATCTGAGCACCTCACGCTGCGCTACTCCTAACATCAGTCCAGCAACTTCAGTAGTTCAGCAAAGCCGTCTGCGGGACTCAAGCTCTAGGTAAGCCAAAGATCCACAGGATATACTATCAGCTGTGTGTTCAAAGACTTAGGCGAAAACTTTCAAACTTGAGTGTCTAATTTTAGCCACCCCTTAGTCCGTATTTGGGCACCTAAATAAGTGCCCTGATGTTTTTGGGACACTGCTCCCGTTGGAGTTGCATGTGTACAATTTAGGGAATGAGTGAGCCCTTGCTCACAGAGATAGGCAGGTTGGAAATCCTGAGCACATTCCACTGCCAATTATAGGACAAGCACAGCTGAGTGTGCTCTGGGATTCATAGTTCTGAAACATCCTCCCTCAAAAATCATATTTCTCTTTGTGTAACATGCATGCAGCTGACAAGCCTCGGGTGTTCAGAAGTATATGCTCTGTAACACATCTGGGAATCCAGTATACTCTTCACAAATTCCAAATGGCTTTCTATTTGGCTAGAGAGAAGGAACAATTTGCTGCATGTTTCTTACCTTTGAAAGCTGAAGTCTGTTCTGAGGAAGGTGACAGTGATGTTTGTTTGCATCAGTATTTGTTGTAACCCGTGACATGAGAAATGTTTTACTGTTGAATGTGTTTTTAGCCTCCAGTTACAGCACCATGAAACCATCCATGAAGCTGCTACATATGGCTCAGTAAGGCCATATAGAGAGAGTCCTTTATTAGCAAGGGCAAGACGGACTGAGAGCTTTCACAGTTACAAGGACTTTCAGACTTTTAATATGAACAATAGTATGGTGGACAAGGCTGTCCCTGAGACTGGCAATCTGAGTCCAGTACAAGCTGAAATGAAGAAGGCAGCAGGTGAGAGCACTCCAACAGACAAAAAGGCAACAGTACTGGAAGTAAGAGCTACTAGAATATCATCAGATGCTGGGGCAGAAGGTCAGAAAGTGCCTGAAAGCTCTTCAGAAGTGAAGAAAAGAGGGCCAGATGATGAAAGTGAGAACAAAGTAGAGAATAAAAAGAAAAGTGGATTTGATGGAGGAGGGTTTCTGGGAAGAAAGAAAGTACCTCCTCTGGTGTCTTCACCAATTATTGTGGAAGGAGGACCTGAATCACCTGGTACAGCGTCCCCATCACCCACAAAGACGACCACTTCTCCACGCCACAAGAAAAGTGACTCTGCCTGCCAAGACTATAGCTTGTGAAAATGCTAAGTTGTGTACATTTGTTTTCAAGGGTTCCAATGAAAGTTTAACACTTAACTGGATGTAACTTTTTCACTACAGATTTATCATTTTAAAAAGGCTTCATTTGAGTGTGTCTAACTGAAAGAGTTAAAATTGTAATAAGTTTTCACAGTGCACCTCAACAACTTGGGTTTACAGCACAACCAGCAAACATACTCTAAATTGATGTACTTCATTTTCATATTGTATAAAGCCAAACAGTACTTGGTACAAAACATTGATGTAAAATCCTGTTTTATGCAGTCCAGCATACACTACACTATTTGTCTTAGGAAGAGTTTTATAGGTAACTTTCTAAGTCCCATTACTGGACCTTACCTTTGAAATCACCAAAACATTAAATGCCTGACCCCTGCTTACTGGCCATTAAAGTTACCATAATTATTATTTGCAATTCCTTGGAGTCACCCATCTTGTCCTTTCACCTCCTTCAAGATAATATAAAGTAGAAAATTAGCTGGGTGCTAAAAGCTATTTCATCAATTTGAAAAGCTTCTCTTGCTGAAGTTTGCCTTGATTGTAGAGCGACTGTTTGTTTTTTCAGTATTGATAAATTTGACATTTATGTGCTACAATTCTTTTGTTTATGAAACAAATTCAAAAAGTCTTTATGCTTACAGATGTGCTAAAACATTATTTTGCATATCTTGGTCCTAATATGAAAATGCACAGGAATGTTATTATCTGTACTTTTCTGCTCATTTCTCTTTGCAGAGCTTTCAAATACCTGAAATTATAAACTATAACCTCTTGTGGAGGGGGAAAAAAAGCATGCATTTTGCTGCTCATTACTGTATATAACACTAATGTCTAAGAAATGGACTAAATATCTCTTGTTAGAAAACTTACTAGGCTATTCACACATTCCTCTTCTAAGTTTGCTGCTGTACAACAATGCCATAGTGGTGTTATGCTCTTCCAGATCATGAGAGTTTCAGCCCTCAACCAGAAATGCTGGATTCAGGTCCCCCCACATCTTCCTTACAGCAACAGTAGTACTAAACTTCAGTAAAAGTAGGGCATGCAGAGTTAAGTCGATACCGCCCATACAACTTTAATGTATTTTTGTAAAGATACACTGCTTTCCCATAATGTGGAGACTTTAGCTGGAAGTCACTGAGTTTTGCTAGTGTGAGGGTGTTTTTGGTTCTAGTTGCAGTCCTTAATGCATACGTCAATTTCTTTGCAGACAGTTTCCAAGGACCTGAGACTCTGGTGTCTTGAACCAGGTAAGGCTAGGGCTTGTGAAAGGTGCCTGCTATTTTGTTTGGTTATGCACTAGGACAGACATTTAGGAGCAGTGATTTATAAAGTTTTGGCTATTTTTAAATGCGTCGAGATTTACAGAAATGGAAAAACAAATGAGCTAGAATACCCTTTTCTCCTTCCTCAAATTTTAGCTCTCTTTAAAGAGGAGGCTAAAAATGATTCTTTAGTAGAATGCAGGGTTGTAGCCATGTTGGTCCCAGAATATTAGGGACACAAGGTGGATATTAGGTGATATCTTTTATTAGACCAACTTCTTTTGCTGAAAGAGACAATCTTTCGAGCTACGCAGCGCTCTTCATAGTAGAGTGTTATAGCATGTGGTTTTGGTTATTACTCTTGCGCTTGATGTCATTTGCCATAAAATATAGGGGAAAAATTGGATCCTCAGACTGAGGTCAGTGTAGTTCTGTGCTGAAAAATTCAAAGTGGAAAGCCTTGTGTATTAGGTGACATCATATCAAATAGGCTCATTTTACAGTTATTTTTGTAAAGTCAGCCTTGCAAGTTCACCCAGTGAGCTGAAAGTTTCAAGCTGTTTTTATTTTTTCTGGCTCTGACTTTCAGTGGGGTTGTACAAATAGGTTTGCAGTATTTGGTGTGGTGATGTGAGAACCCGCTTTATTTTCAATTCTCAGAGTGATGGAGGAAACCCAGATACTTTTCAGATTACAACCCTACTTTGAGACTCCAGCTGCTCAGAGCAGTCAAAGCAGGAACTGCTGCAGGGGGTAAAATAGACACCAGCTGGGGCCAGTGCTCCCAGGTGTGTAGACTTGGGGAAAAACTCGAGGAAGGAGCCATACCCAGACACATTGTCGTAAGAGCAGCTAAAGCAGGGACCTTCAGAACTTTCTCTCTCCCCTGTGCTTATTGGCTCTTTGCTCCAATCCTCTTCCCCCTCCCTAACAATTTGCCTTTCACCTCAGATTCACACCTGCCCTGTCCCCTTCTTTCCAGCTAGCTTATCCCCCCTCCAAAAAAAAAAAAAAAAAAATCATGGCTGTTTGCAGCCATTACATTGTTCACTCAGTTGTATTGCTACCCCCATCCTGTGTCTGTTTAGATTGTAAGCTTTTTAGGGGAGGGATTATCTACTACTCTTTTTACACAGGGAGGCCTGATTCTCGGTTGGGTCTTAGGCTTTACTGTAGTAAACATTCTTTCATATTAATAGGGGGAAATTAAATCTACTTCATTCCATGGCATGAATGCACTATAATATTTGTAGAGTTCTACTTAAATATTGAATGCTGTGGTATTCCTTTACATATACAGTGCTCACACTTTTATTCTTAATCCTTTCATTGCCTTCCACTTATGGAAGCTAACTTTAGACCCACCTTAGAACTGTTCCTCCTAGTACTGTTGGTCTGTGTATATGACTTCTGTTGCTAGTAGAATGCATGGTACAAGTCAGCAACTGGCATGCTCAGTGTTCATAGAATATCAGGGACCTCAGGAGGTCATCCAGTCCAACCCCCTGCTCAAAGCAGGACCAATCCCCTATAGTTGCTCCAGATCCCTAAATGGCCCCCTCAAGGCTTGAACTCACAACCCTGGGTTTAGCAGGCCAATGCTCAAACCACTGAGCTATCCCTCCCCCCAACCCCCGTGTTGCAATTGCGCAATGATTTTGTTCAGGTCTTAAAGTGCAAACTAAAGATGCCGCTCTTCAGACAGGATCTTTCTTAGGAAAGGAAACATCTGCAAGAATAAACAGGAGGTGCAGCTGAATAAGAGTTTCTTTAACCAGAGGCAGTGGAAAGTGCTGTTACTTCCAAGTCTCCATTTGTATTTTGTACACTGCAGAATAAGTCTAGCTGTACACTTGGGACATTTCCACATAATGAATAACCAAATTTTTAAAATGGGAGAAAAAGTCTTTGGATAAAACCATTGCCACAACATTTACATAATACTAAAAACAAGCCAAGCTTTAACGGTGCTTGCATGTGAAATAAGATGACTGGTCAAATTCACACCTGCTTTTTTTTTGTGACTCAATCCCTATCAAGTAGTTGATTTTAAATGAATTTTGAATTGATCTGTAGGGTAGGAATGTTACATTATGAACACCAGCATTGATTACCTCCCTCGGCCAGCTTTAAGTTATAAGGCAGACAATCCTGCACCACAGTCTGTTTTGAACTTTCTGTTGCTAACTAGGCCAGTTTTTAATGTTGTGGATTGTTTAAAAGGTGAACTGGAGAAAAGGCAGCACACTGTCACTACTTTCTTTATTGTAAAATTAATATCGAGCTTGTACATTCAGCCTAATTTTAAGCACACACTTTTTTTGTTCTTTATATTATGTGGTAATAAAAATACTTGTATTAAATTTAGATGTAACCTTTTATTAATCTATATTTTCAGATTAATTTACAGGCACAATAGAATCCTAGTCTTGAAAATAAACCAATTACTACAGTTTGAACTATGCAATGCTTTTTTCCCTACCACAGAAATAATTAAGATACTCTAATCTGTACTGTACACTGTATAAGAAATTGCTAGTATTGTATAATTGATTATATTGCAACATGTATACCATAATAGCCAATACTTGAATTCTGCCTCCCTACTCCTTTTGAGTATTTCCTTACTGTTTAATTTAAATGAGACTATTTGTAGAGTAAGGTATGGGGGGGAGGAAAGAACAGAATCCTGTCTTGCCCTAAACGTATGTTAAAACAAACACTGGCAATAACTGTTCACATTACAGTAAACAGATTTCCTCTAGGGGCCCTAATGTTCCAGCTCAGCTCATAGGTATTCTGTCTTACGCCCAGCAGTTTGGATAGAAAATAGAAACAATGAGATCTGTCCGTTTAAAACGAAGCTGTAATAGCTCTTTTGTTCTTTCCTGTGAAGCTTACCTTATGGGTGGGTTTTTTACCACTTTGTTTTTGTCACATCCCTTTCCTAATTTGATGATGTTTGCATTTCACTGTTTCTCAAAGCAATTTCCAATTGCAAAATGTAAGGATCATGCCAAATGCATGACAACCAAGATAGTTTTGTTGGAGAGGCTTCATCACAATGCTAAACAGCAGCTGATTCACCAGAGATTTAATAGTAAATTATTTAAATATGTTAAAGACACGCCTTATTCCTAAGAATTTGTTTTTAGAGCTATGATCATCCTGACTTATTTCTCTAAGACCAACACCAGAGGGCAGGCACTAGAAACTACAATACATGTGAGTAAAATCCAGAACAGCTTTCACTAAATTACATTTTGATACATTTCAAATTTACTCTTGCAGAGTCTGGTGTGGCAAGGTTCTGAGCACCCTTAGATCTTATTCTGGGAAAGTGAGAGTACTCAAGATGTCACAGGATCACATCTTTCGTGATTTTAAATCAATCTCCTGTTGTACATGATCTAAAGTAGATTGAAATGGACAGAAACATTTTAGGGTTCCTGACTAGATGGGCAATTGCACAAGTTTTCTGTGCTTTTGCATCTGTAGCAATATTTCATAGACAGAATTAACTCTTCCTTCTTTGTTGTCTTAATTAAAGTGAGCAAACTGGGTTGTAATGCTCTTAAGAACAGATCTAAATTTATTCTACATTTTTATATACTTGTTGACCAAACCCCTTTTTTTTTCCCCACTGATCATACATTTCCCACCACAGTATAATATAATGAAACATGATTAAAGTTTCAGGATTAGGTATGTGCAGCTGTAAAAGTGTTTGTGAAACTTCTCTGTATATTATATTGGCTATTTAAGGTCTTGCCAGTACTGTGACACAACGTTGTACATACAATACATTCTTCTCACCTTCCCCTTTTGAAATATTTCTGTATGATATTTGCAATAAATGTTTAACACTGATCGATATGTAGAGAGTACATTTACAATATATAACTATATTCTTGGCTGTTGCAACAGTACTCCTAGAAAATGCATTCATACTGCTAAAGTTCCAGTAGGCACCCTTTTTAAAACATAATCCCCAAGCTGTTACATGAGAAATTAATTTCTACATGTTAAATTGAACAAAACAAAGATTTTGTGTTCCTTCAGCTGCTTTGGGTTGGCTGTGGTACTTACTCCAAATAGGTATCACAACTGGGTGTCAGTGAAGGTTGTATGTTCTTTAGTTACTGTACTGAAGCCTTTGATGGCATTCACAAGGTCTTCATCATCCACATACTAGGGAGGTAAAAAAAATTAGCCAAATCACTTGCAGGGTTTAAGTACAAATTTAGAGAACTATAAACACTGACCTAGTCATAGAACCACAAAACTAGAAATAACAGAGATTTGTTGTTCCAAAGAAATAGACTTGCTACACGCACAGTCACAATACTTGACTGCATTATCAAACTGATTCGCACTAAGACCTGGTCTAGACACAGCTTTATACAGTCATAAAATCACATCCCTCACCAAAATAGTTCGTTAATTCCCATAAATATTGGTGAATAACCTGTACTGCTATACGCACCTTTACAGTGGTAGAATTGCAACCACTCTCGGGGATTGTACTGCTTTAATTATATCAGTTTAGAAACCGCATGAGAGCCACATAACCAATAGACTACTGAAACATCTCACTGAATGTCATGTTTTCGCTGTAGTTATGTGCAAAAAGGAATAAAATGTCTGATGTATACAGTACCGTAACTGTGTAAAATAGTTGGTAACATTTCCAAAAACACCTTTGTGATTCATGAGCTGAAGTCCCACTTTCAGAAGTGACTTAGCTGCTTCTGAAAATAGGATTTAGGCTAGTCATTAGTACCCAGTACCTCAAAGGTATTTAGGCAAGTAACTCTCATTACCTTTGAGGATCTGGGCCTAGATGCTTTTGGAAATTTTGCCCAGCATCTTGGTAAACATCAGTTACTAAGATAATGCCAAATGTGCATGCATTCATGGAATTGTAGAACTAGAATAAGAACTTACCAACCCACTATCATGACCATGTATAATGGTATCCCACACAGAATCTTCTATTAGGGACTTCTTGTCATAGACATCAATAAGTTGACTGACACTGCGATGTAAAGACCCTTGGGAGGAGGTACGATTCATCTGCCTTTGACTCGGTATCTGTAGAATGGAAGTACTTTGGTTGCTACGATTACTCAAAGGAGACCCGGGTCCTGGAATTTTTGTATCTGCTAGTCCCTAGGAATATTGGAATAAAAGGGATGTGCTTATGAAAGGTTTACATGAAAAATGTAATAGATTAACATTTCAGCTCAAATAAATCTGTTACAAAGTTAGTTATTTTCAAGGGCTTTATTTTGCAGTAGAAGCCATAGTACTAAAGTAACATGGTAGTGGTAGAGGTTTTTAGGCTGATAACAGAACATCGTTATCACTAGCTCCAGCTATTGTTCCCTGTGGAAACAATGGCTTACTGCAATGCGGTTTAACAAGGTGATCTCTTGAAGATCGCTTGTTAAGCATGCAATTGAAACATGTCATCACAGTAATTGCCATTCCATTTTAGAACCAGGAAATAGACAACTGATGGAACACTTGCAAAGTTAGGAAGCACCTGGCTTATCTGCCAGGGGACAATACCTGGCAATTTTAGCAACTAGCTTTTGTGAACTTGTGTAAGTATGTGTCTCTAACAGCCATTTGACCTTTCTCGCTCTCTGGTTTTCCAAAAAGTTGTGTAAAACAAATTATATGTTAAATCGACAAGTAGAGCCCCAAATGGGTTTTTTTAACATACTGAAACTCCTACAGTACAGTAACACACAACTATGCACGTTCTTTATTATACCCTTTAAAGTGGCAGCTATACACCACTTTGGATCATCTGTCACAGAATCTTCAACTGCTAACAGCTGTGCAGTAATAAAACATGCACCATGCAAGAAATTCTCAGGCAAAACACTTCAATTAATTCCAGGTTTGATTGCCACAGCACACAGGTTGCATACTCGTTAACTATACCTCAAAACGCATTGTGTAACTTGTTAGAGTAACACTACTTGCGGACTCTGACATCTCGGCAATAGAATCAAACTGAGATTTAAAAGGAAGGAGAGTTGTTAACAGCAATGCTACATTAGCCCAGGTGCTGTGACAAGTGTTTTATTCTGTGGTTAGATTACACTGTAAATGTAGCTAAAAATAATGGTCAGAGCTATCAGTTGAGAATCTGGGCCATTGTACTCAACTACAGGACAATGGAATGATTTTTACAATACAAACTCATGGTGGTTGAAAGTGAATTTGTTAGTCTCTAAGGCAGGTTTCACTTGTTGTATTTGTACAGGACAGCAGAGGATGAAAGTTCCAAATTCAAGTCCATAATTGAGTTTTGTGTAAAAACTGCGGTGTGACCTTGGAAGTGATGATAAAATAAAAATGAATGCCTCCATCTATAGCCCTTTCCTAGCAGTTCAGACTGAAATGTGTGTGCAGACATAAGCACTGCAAAGTCTTACCTTATCTCTGCTCTGTGAGACTTGTGAAGATGAGATGAGAGGAACTTGTAAAGGAGTTGCAATAGGATGCTGATGGCAGGGATTATCAGTTAAAGAGGTTTTCTGCATTTTTAAAGCATTGTAGGTAGAGAATAGAAATGGGATAAATATATAAGTACGTAGAAGACAAGGAGTTAAACAAAAGGGACGGTATCTTTCATTTTCCCGAGGAGAAATTGGATATAAGGCACATTCTGGGGTTTTTGGTTTTTTTTTTTTCCTTCCCCAATTTAAATTTCTGCCAGTTGTTTAGCCAAAAGAGGAGCCACAATTATATTGTTGAAACTGATGGCACAATGTGCGCTGCAGCTGCTTGTGGAATTAATACAGATCTGAATGACTTACTTCAAGCTATTGACATGTCTGCTTGTATATTTAAAAAAAAATCTTTTCAAAAAGCTGAGGAAAAAATAGTGGGGAAGAGGTTGTAACGAGAGGAGTGATTTAATGGTCTTTAGAACCCAGGAGTTCCCAGGAGCTCCTCAATACTTATCTTCTTGATCACAGGTCTTTCTGTGTGCTCTTGGGTATGTTACTTTCTGCCTCAGTTTCCATCCTAAAATGGGCATGCATACTACTACTACTAACCTTCCTCAGTAGGGTGTTTTATATAATTCCTAACTAATGTTCACACGTCCTAAATAGTATTGGACTCCTTTCCCCAACCCTCAGCTCCAAGAGAGTATTGTGTCATGTGACTCCATGGAAAGTTAGGCGATTTTCAAGTCTCACTTTGTATTTCCAAAGCTAAATTATGATTTTTTTAACAGTTCCTCATTTAGCCTTTTGTAATTGACATTAAGAGTTGCCACAAAAATGTTTCTAAGGCAAGCCGCCCCAGTCTCAAGGGGGTCCTTCTGAAAACAGGCACATTTTCCTTTAAGGCACCCACTTGGCCACCTAGCTCAACACCATTCCATGAGGAGCCAGAACACTCACAGGTCCTTAAGGGGCTACATAAAGATCTAAACTGGCAGCTTAATGGGTTGTTAACATAATTCTTTAAATAAAGACATGAGAGCAGCATGCTTACTAATCAGTGGTGTTGTGCCTGACAAGCTGAACAGATGTGGCAGCTGAGGGCTACTGTTCCCTGATGAAGGGCACATTATAGAAGGACAAGATGGCTGGATGAATCCATAGAAATACACCCTTCCTCTTTCCAATCTGACAACCAAGCTCCTGGAAGGCAGAGTCCTTCTCAATTTTTGCTTATACCTTGTGCATGCTAAATGGTGAAGAATGTGTTTAAAGCCCCCAATTCAACTTTTACACAGGAAAATACAATGTCAGTAGGCCCAAGCAGCCCCCAAAGAAAGATGTGAAGCAAAAGAGAGCAGGGGATAGGAATGGGGAAGGAAAAGGCACAAACTCACAGTAATGTGCTTTTTGTTGCTATAATTATCTAGGATTTTATACTGTCATCTATCACCATGGTATCTGAGGAGTCTATATGTGTCAGCAGGGTTTAAAATGCTGTGGTTTTGCATTCACTGAAGTCTGGCAAAACTCCCATTGACATTAATGAGTGCTGGATCAAGCTCATAGTTTGTAGAATTGTACTGAACAGTCACTTGAAATAATGCATCCGATGACATGAGCTGTAGCTCACGAAAGCTTATGCTCAAATAAATTGGTTAGTCTCTAAGGTGCCACAAGTACTCCTTTTCTTTTTCAAATAATGGGAAACTAGTGAGCACTATTCTAATATTTATTCCTTTTGCCTGAGAACTAATTTACATAATGGGGCAACTCCTCAGCTAGTATAAATAAGAGTGACAGACTAACGATTTCCTGAATGAACTTCGCTGAATTAAATTAAACCTTACTGAATTAGTTTTCATTGTATTAAATGCAAATATGTATGGTGAGATTGTATGGAATTTATTTAGTAGGAAGATTAATGCAATCTGGAACGTATGAGGAAGTCCAAAGGTCTTTTTGGAACAATATGTGTGAAGTGGATTTCTTTAGAAAGAGCTTGAGCAAATTCTCCCCCTAGTTCAAACTGGGTTCTCCAGGGTCCAAGAGACAAAGAAAGGTGTTTGAGATGAGTTTGTTTACACTGACGCAGAGCCTTCTTCCTGAACCAGCAAATGGACAGGACCGCAGCTCCACAGAGGGTCCCATCTTTAGGGTAAGGGTGGAAGGCTGTCAGAATCCATGTTAGGATTGGGGTGGACTCTGGTAAGCTTGTTAGCATGTGTGTAGGTTCTTCTATTTGTTTTCACCTTAGGAATAAAGTAGGCTTGCAGAGGAAGTGGTATGCAGTAAGCTAGAACTGTTGACAATCAGTCTCTGAAGAGAAAGCAAACAGGTGTGCTTGGGCAACCTGTCAGTGCTGGGAAATACAAAGAGAACAGTGCAGCCTGGGAATAC